GCATAACAAAGACTGAGCCTTTATTATGGAGAGGTTCGGTTTGTGACTACGCCTGGCCTGCATAACAAAAGTGTGAAATAAGTATAACCCGTAAAAACAAAGTTTTTCACTATAAATCCTTTATATGCGTGGCAGCGAACTTAATATAAAGGATTTAAAAATATATTCGCCTGTGTATTTGGCATGGGAAGCGAGGGCGCTACCAACTGCGCTACTCCGCCACGGCCTGTGGAGGGGTTACGCTCTGGGCTCTTATACTGTGACGTTCAGCCAAAGCCAAGAATGAGTTCTTTTGAATATATGTAAAATATTTTTTTTTTGCCTAAAAAGTGTTAAATTTTGGGAATTTTTTTCACGAACATTAATTGTCTGGCACAACGAGTCTGTGTGGAAAATGTCAGCTCGATTGGATCACGGGAAGTGGGTTAAAAAACGACCGAAAGATTTGCACGGTCGTAAGCAAGCAAGCACGCAAGCAAGCAAGCGAACTTAATATAAAGGATTTAAAAAGAAAGCGTTTGTTATGCAGGCCAGGCGTAGTCACAAACCGAACCTCTCCATAATAAAGGCTCAGTCTTTTGGGGGTGGGTCTGCTGGGGCAGCTGCTGGAGCAGAGAAATTAGCATGTCAATGAATCCATACTGGAAAAAATTTGATACTGCCAAAAAAGGTCACACACTGCTGGTTACAGCGCTTCCCCACACTGTCAGTCAAAGAGGTCGCATGGCCATACTTCACCACACTGGTCAGTGCGGCTTCAGTTGATCCAAAACGCCACTGCCAGATTTATCACCCGAAGCCGTAAACGCGACCGCGTTTCCCAAATAAATGCCCGTCCACTCCCTCCACTGGCTGGCATTCACCAGTGCAATAATTGCTGGACAAGGTCGCACTCATAGGCTTCAAGATCCTCCATGGACTCGCCCCTGCCTCCCTTATCCCCATTAGAAACGATGGACTGCATTGTATCGCTTTGTGCTCTGTAATGTTTTATTGGTGTCAGATCTATGCGAGTGTCTCAGTTGTCATCCCGCATCGAGTCCTATACCGCATCCACTGCCATATATTTTTGCACTATGCTGACTGAGCCCAGGCCCAAAATGTCAAGCGGGGAGCAATGAACGGCACTATTAAAGTAGGAATAGATAAAGAGTGTAACACGTCTGTTGCATTGAACAAGCATATTATACGAGTTTGGGGATAAGACTATGGGAGGGAATTCCAAAGTGAAGCAATGCGAGAAAAGCAGAGATAAATGTGACCTGCAGTGTGGTGAGCGGGTGAGTGTTTGAATTAATGAGTTGGCGAAGGAGTGAGTGAGTGTTGTTATGACCTGCATTGCAGTGATTGAACAGTATTGATGAGACAAAGCAGTGAGACTGGTAGACTTCAGTAACACAGGCATTGAGCCAGTGACTGAACTCCCTGTGTCGCTCCCAGGATGGACGAGTTCCGTATTGGCACCCTGGTCGGCATGGACAAGTATGGCAACAAATACTACGAGGATAAGCGCAACTTCTTTGGTAAGAGTCCCCGCAGAGACCCCTATCACCACCCACTTGTCTTGCTACCCAGTGCCCACAATGAGACAATCACTCACGTCAGAGTGTTAATTTTGCGGTAAATATCAAAACAAATGTTTTTCTCCATTTATAGAATATGGGCATTCCATTATATACATGTTATTCTATGGGCATTCATTTTTCCAATTATAAGCTATGTTAATTTTGTTTCCCCATGTTAGCCTATGGGTATTCGTTTTTCTCTCATTCCTTTCAGTTTGTCCATTAATACAAAAAAAATCTCGTTAATTGACGATAGCCTTGAGTGAATGAAAATTAGATATTTTGATAAGGCTACGACTGTTTCGTCTTTGATTAAATTAACGAATCTCAATGAACATGCAGACCAAGATAATCTAGTTACATTATTAGAGACCAAACATAACAATTGGGTATATAATTCGATACAAAAAAAATTCACTGAGTACATAATTTGGCTGACCGCTTAATACAATGGGGTTTGGGGGGTTCTCCCTTCGTCTGTCTTCTTTACTATACTCAGGCCGGCACCGCTGGGTGGACTACACGTGGAAGATGAATGACAAGGACACGTTCTGGGACAAGGACGGCAGCATGGTGCCTCCTGAGTGGTGCGTCTTTCCCTCTCTCGTGTTCACTGTCAAGTCAAAGTGATTGCCTACTCAAAAGAGCATTGAGGCATTGCCCATCTCCTTTTACAGCCTTGATCCAGTGGTGCAAATTGCACGTTCCAATTGTAGGGGAGAGTCTGTCTCGGGTAAATGCTGTTGACTTCCCCCTGAAGTGGTACTTTTATGGACCCTGTAGGACTGATGGACTTAGTCAACCCCCAACCAGGATTTCAAACATGCGATTGGGAGCTGCGTGCTGTAATACTGAACCACCTCCCACCTGGCCGGTTACTGTCTGTGCTGCCTGATCTTGATTTTATGCTGATACTCGGAAGGGAGGCCTGTTTATTTATATATATGTAGAGAAGTCCCCACGGACGCTCTCGGAGACGGAGGTATGTTATGGGGTTTCGCCGAGGATTTATTAAAGCTGTTTCAATAACACACAAGGGTACACAACTCCCAGGGGCTAGGGGTCCTACTCTGAGTCCGGGTCCCTGCCGGCTAGCTCCGGTCTCTCTCTCTCGTGTCGGATCGTGGACTCTGCCGACTCCACCGACCGGAGAGAGAAGCACCTCTATCGGCTACCACCGGCTTCTCCCCAGACTCACTATTCGATCCCTCTCTACCCCTGGTTCCCTCTTCACCCTTCTTACTCTACCCGTTCCCACAGTGACCCCGCTTACATCACGGGGTCTCCCATAAGTACCCTAGGAGACGTGACGTCATAGCACTGAACGGCACACCTGACGTCACGTCCCCATTTTACTCCTCTACATATATGCTATCATTCCATTATTTGGCTGTTTCCCACTGCTCCACTGCCCTCTCCCTTCTGCCCTCTGTTCCGCCACAGGCACCGTTGGCTGCACAGCATCGCGGACGAACCTCCGACCACACACCCGCCAGAGCAGCGGCCGTTCATATGGAAGGAGCACAAGATGAACATGAGTGGCTTCAATAGGCAGTACGTGCCCTACTCGACCGTGCGCCCCAAGATCGAGTCCTGGGTGCCGCCCAGTGGAGCCACCTCCCGCTGAGCTCACACACACGCCTGCACACACGTGTGTGTGTGTGTGTGCGCACTTAAGTACGTGTGTACGCATGCAAGTATGAGTTCGTGTACATACATGTGTAGACTTCGGGTCTCTGCGACGAGCTCGGCAACTCTGGTGCCGTTTTACCTCTAGGGGTGTGACAATTCATCGATTAAAATAAATGATTTAACACGAGCCGACTGGATGATATATTTTCCATGCAAATTATTTGAGAATGCTAGGGCGTAATCGAGGCAACCTGCCCGATAATTGAAACGGCATCGCAAAACAAAATTATTTTGAATTAAAGCACGACTAGAGAAATGTCACGGCTTATTGAATCGCAGATGAGTGAATCGTTGCATCCCAAGTTGCTGCTATCATCTGTGAATCTATGATACCTGAGTCCCTTACAAACACATGTTTTGAAGAACTCCCCAGCCATCACAAGCGATGAAATAAAAATTTGGTGAAGTTATAGCGGAACTGTGCAGGCGTCTGAATAGAGTGCGTTATCTGCGTTTGTAAAATAATAAATCTTCGCCCTGCCTTCGCGATGCTCTCCACATGGTCTCACTTTGCACATGTGACTCGCCATGGATGCTGGTGTGGGGCAGGAAGGGTAGGAGAACAAGGGGGAGAGGGAAGGATGCAGTGGAACGAGATGTGAGTATGGTGGATGTGATGTGTGAAGAGGCACGGGAAATAAGCTCGCGGAGAGAGAATTCGGGCAACCGACTCCATGCAACAATGTCACTTTTGGTTCACAAGATGAATGTCTGTTGGTCTGTATGTAACTCTGGATCATGTTGATCTATGTAACTGTGTGGGAGGAAATAAAGTACCTGGAGAAAACCCACCATGAATACAAGAGGTTAGCCCATAGCATCATTAGGCCAATGTTGGAATGTGGTTGGAGCCGTTGTACCAATGTTGGCCCAACGTTCCATATCTACTGGGCAGCTAGATTCAAGCATAGGTCTCCTGTCATCTGTGCACCTCACGGCCCAAGCCTACAACACATGTATTGTGTGAGTGGGCCAAGTTCAAACACCTGGGGGGGGGCTTGTATTAGCACATTCACCTTCCATATTAAAGCCACGCGTCAAAATCGCATTCAAAATCCGAAAATAAAAGTATCCGGTTCAATCACCTCAGGATCTGGTTTGTAATGTTAATTAAAATATATATCGCTATTAGATAATAAAAAAATACACCGAGGCTTACGGGTGGTGGAGGATCTACGACACTTTTTAAATCCTTTATATTAAGTTCGCTTGCTTGCTTAGGACCGTGCAAATCTTTCGGTCGTTTTTTAACCCACTTCCCGTGATCCAATCGAGCTGACATTTTCCACACAGACTCGTTGTGCGTGACAATGTTCGTGAAAAAATTTTCCCAAAATTTTACACTTTTAGGACAAAAATATTACATTTAATTACCAATTGCTTAATGGTGCAATGCAATCATCTGACCCATAGGTGGCAGCCATCTCAAGCCAGAGGACGAGAGGACTCTCGCCGCCACGCATATAAAGGATTTATAGTGAAAAACTTTGTTTTTACGGGTTATACTTATTTTTTATTTATGCGACCTGACCAAAAAAAATATACACGACTCCCCTGCCCCATCGCGATTGGCTCCGATTGCATTGACGTCACAGGGAGGGGAGGGACTTTCAAGTCGGCGTTACGTCACCGCCCCCACGCGCGTGCATCTTCCCGCTACGGAAGACGGCCACCGACACCGCAAGACGCGTGTCAGACGTTCTACCTCATTCCGGAAGACGTCTACCAATAAAACGCGGACCCCCTGTTCAGGCGCGCGCCCGGGGGCGGGGCCGGTCAACGTCACCCCCCCCCCTCAACGCGCGGAGATCTTCCGGAAGTTCCCGAAGATTCCAGAAGTCGTCTTCCGGAAGACGGAAGGCGCAGAGTGTCAGCGCCCTGATTGGGCATTTAACGGAAGGCGTCTTGCGTTAACAATAACAATTGTACCCCCTCCCCTCGCCGTCGCGGCGACAAAACCTCGTTGTTGAGAATTTTATATCAAAGTTCAAACTCTCCTGTTCTTCTCGCACGACCTTGACGAGACGACAGCGCCACCGCAGCGTCCACACACGGCCCAGCCCGGCGGCGTCCTTGCTTCCTCCGCCCTCCCTGCCCCCCGGCCTCGGCTGGGCGTCTCGCCCGGCTCAGGGCGCCGCTTCGCCCGCAGCTCAACCAGGCAAGGTGAGGGGGGACGGGGGCCCTAAAGCTAGGCCCCTCGCGGCCTACACAACAACAAAAGGGGGAACGGAGACCCGGGTATGGGGGGCCCAAGGCGACCGGGGTTTGGGGTTCAAGGGGATCAGGGGTTTGGGGTCGAGGGTTATTTGGGTTTGGGGTCTACGATGACCTGTGTCTGAGGCCAAGGGGATCGGGATTTGGGGACCTGGGGGTTGGGGTCCAAGGGGACGTGGGGATTTAGGCCAAGGGGATCGGGGGTTTTGAGACACCGGAGTGTCATGTCTTCGGGAATCGAGGTTTGGGGTCTAAGAAAAACGTGGTGTTTGGGATGCAAGGGGACCGGGGTTGGGGATTCAAGGACAACCGCGTGTGGGAGACTGGCGTGTGAGGTATTAGGTGACCGGGGCTCTGGGTGCCAGCGAATGCGAGATTTCATGGTTTGGGGCTGTGTTCTGTGTGCTGTACATGAGTCGTATGCTTGAGGTTTCTTGAGCTTTGGGGTCCCTGATTTTAGGTTATCTGGGGTTTGGGATTCACAGGATGCCTGTGTTCGAAGACCTGCACTGTCGAGAGTTGGGGTCTTAACTGGGGGTTTACGGCGAGTGTACTACTGCAGGTTCAAAATCGTAAATCTCCGATGTTTGTGTGGGTGGAGGGGGCGGGCAGAGTTTAAAGTGTAATGGGTGATGTCTCGGGGTTTGTCAAGGGTTTGAGATCTGAAGATTTTAGCCTCGGAGTTCCAGTGTTTGGGGTCCTAAGGCTCAGAGTTTAGTGTACCTGCGTTTCAGTGGGGGGGGGGGGGTGCGGACATGGGTTCAGCGACAGACACTGCGCGTTTGGGGTTTCCTGGGTTCAAGAGCAGACTGGGTGTTGGGGGGGTTTCCTGGGTTCATGGTCTGGGGCAACAACAACAACATTCTAACTTGAGGCGAATTTGTAATTTGTAAAGTAGTGATAGTTGAGTTGGACGTTTTGGCACTCAAAAAATATTCTTGGATGTTTGCTTTGCCATATTAGTAACTCGGCCATTGCATGACAACATAAGACCTCTGAACATATTTGTAAATAACACCGTGACCTTAAAAGGGAACATGCATAATGGACGACGTTTCTGACAATGCACCTTCATTGCACATAAGAGAAGCTAGAGAGATGGATAGTAAGAATTGGAGACTGCACCTCGTGACTGGTTACCTAATAGTAGCTTTTGACTAACAAACAAAACCCTTAGATAATCAAGAAGCATCACTACTAAATTATCCATAAGATTTTTTTGCGGTTGGATCGCGTAAATATTTACGCGATCTATCCCAAAAAACCTCATGGATGATTTTGGTTCGCGAAAGCCTACGTGTTAAACTACTAAATTAACTCAATTTCATTAAAGGTAACATAAAATGTTGCTGGCACATTGAATTGTGGGAATGTTTGTCAGTGTGAGCACGTCGCACAAATCCCCTTAGCAGTGGCTTCATGGCCCCAATCACTGCCTTACCTTCCCGAGTTAGAGAAATCTGAGTCGGGTCAGATAAGGGTATTGTGCCAAGCAGATTCATGGTTTTACTATGGCTGAGAATATCATTCAATATGATGGGATAAACTGTGGGATTTCTTTGACAGGATAGAAGTCGCGTGCATGAATACATTTGCTGTACTGCCTTGTGTAGCTCTGAGCAACCTATATAACCAATTTTACACTATTTATGACCGCCCATCTGCCAAACATGGGGGTAAGTCAACAATAGTTGTCTTTTGGATATATTTTCCCTTGCCGTAGGAATGTGGAATTTTCACCACTGGCTTAGGATTGTAAGCAGGGGATGGGCACCACCTGAATGCTAATTTCATTAAAAAAAGACCTTGACTTATCCAATTTAAACTCTATCCAGGCTTAAGCTTGCTTCACATTTGAGCTGCCATGATATTGGGTGCATTCCAGGTATTTTGATCATAAGCTTGCTGCCCATGTGCAGTGTTGCAATACATCATCATCAGTCATTGTCTATCCACTGCTGGATGGAAACCTTTCCACTTTGCCACCATCCATCAAGGTGCAGCGCTACGACAGTCCATATCATGCACGTGAGTCGATCTCATCACTCTATATCCAATGTCCTCGTACCCTCCAGGTTATTTAACTATATTTGGTTTACCTATGTTTGTTTTGTGTTGAGGACAGCTTGAGGAGGCCATCATCCATCAGTTGTTTGATCATGGCTGGTAATAATGATTTTATATTTATTTCAGATCATACAATGACCGGTACAAGGAAAATATCACAGCTGTGAGGCAGAAAGAAGACTGCGTGAATTAGAGAGCACGTAGGTTGGAGACACCATATTGATTCTGTGCAGAACACGTTCTTTGGATGGACGATGGCCATTGGTAGAGACTAACGATGTAGTGGCAACCAAAGGAGAGAACATGCCCGGAATGGACGTCTACCTCCTTAATGGAGCGATGAAACTGGCTCATATGCAGCTGGATGGATTGCTGCATTTTGAGACAGTGATATCTGGCAAATGTTTTCGGAGGTTTGAATTCAGCAATGGACTGATCAAGGCTGATTATGACAGCCAATTGATGGCCAAATCGTCCAGAATCCGACCAGGTATCATCAGATCTCATAAGCTAAGCAGGTTTGAGCCTGCATTCGTGCTTAGATGGGCAAGCATCGTACATGGAATTGATTGGAACATCTGGCATTTGCATCCCTCATCCCGTCTCGACACAGATAAGAGCCGTTCTAACGCATTAGGTGTTCCACTGGTTTTTTTACCTTCTCATCCCTCCTCCTCTCCCTGGCGGTTTTTGTCTCTCTGCAGCAGCCACGGCCACGAGACTCGCAAGATAGAGAGGGAGGCGAGGAAGCGCGCGGGCCCGAGCGAGAGAGGCGCAGGAGCCGGGAAGAAGGGCCGCATGGCGAACGCCGGCACTGGCACCGCCACCGCTACAGCGGCGCGGACACGCAGGCAGCAGGGCGGGCGGCGCGGCGGTGATGGCGGTGGTGGCGGTGGTGGTAGGAACCGGCACAAAGGCGCCCAGGGGCAGGGCGCTGGTGGTGGAGCGATGCGAGCCAAGCAGAAAGAAGTGGGCGGTGATGTCGGCAGAGGCGCTGGTAATGGTGAAGCTTAATTTCTTGTTGTCGGCCTGTGATTTTGCATTGCAGGGCAAAGGCCTCACCCATTATTTTCTTTCTTTTTAAATCCTTTATATTAAGTTCACTTGCTTGCTTGCGCGCTTACGACCGTGCAAATCTTTCGGTCGTTTTTTAACCCACTTCCCGTGATCCAATCGAGCTGACATTTTGCACACAGACTCGTTGTGCGTGCCAATTTATTTTCGTGAAAATTTTTTTCCATAACTTTACACTTTTTAGGAAAAAAAAATGATATTTAATTACCAATTGCTTAATGGTGGCAGGCAATCATCTGACCCATAGGTGGCTGCCATCTCAAGCCAGAGGACGAGAGGACTCTAGCCGCCACGCATATAAAGGATTTATAGTGAAAAATTTTGTTTTTACGGGTTAATTTTTTTTTAGTCTGGCCTGTGTGTAAGCCAGTGGGTTCCTGTGTGAACTCTGTATGGATCTATGGGTATCTCTATAAGAGTCTATTGTAAATTTCCTTGCTATGCAGATACCTTGCCCATTTTATTCCATTCCTTTACTTAGTTGCTTCTGTCCTGTCATGGCCACTCAACTCTGATGTCGTTTTGCTGCAGCTGTCTCTTCCTCTGTATTTGCTCTTCTTCTTTTCCACTCCATGGTTTGTCTTCTCTCAACGCTTGTTCTCATTGTCGCCTGTAGGTGGTGACAGTTTTTATGGGTGTGCTGGAAAAGGTTGAGAATATAAATGTATATTTTATATATATCACATTTGTGCTATCAGTGTCTGAAATGTTTAGTTTGTATTGCCTGCACTATCGGTCTATTTCTCTCCATCTCCTTTTGTATTTTTTGTTTTGCCTGCTCTCTGTCGAGTTCTGTGATATCCCTACTACTTCATTCTGTCACATTTGTTCTGATCACCAGCCTCATGCAAAAACACGTGTGGAAATTTACATGAATACAAAATAATAACTTCTCACATGATGCATATAATTGCGAGCTAACTATTTTCATGTTATCCAATTAGGTGAGTAATCAAACATGTAATTGGTAGCCATAATTTATTTAAATATCGGATATCCCTGCTGTGGTTGCTTGGACTCGTATTTACCCTGATGATGATGACTAGAGACTTTCACGCTGCCACCTGGCCGAGTACTGTATATGCATTGACCCCTGACCTTGTCGGTGCTGCCGTGTTTGGCATGGACACAGCTGCGGCAGCTCGGACCGGTGGCGCCGCGGCGTGCGACAGTGACATGGGCATGGAGTGGACGCAGAGCGGAACCCAGGTGACGGTGCGGCTGAGACCACGCGGGGGCAGTGCGGGTGGCGGGGGCCCAGGAGGGGGGGACCTGAGCGACCTGCACAAGGGGGCAACCTTCACGGACCACGCGTGTATGGTGGCGCTGCCAGGTTTGTGTTTCTGTGTCTATGTTTGTGGCCTACCATATATGCGTCTGTGTGAGTCGGCATGCCCAAGTACCGTCTGTTTGACCGAATAGTGAGGGGGGTGATTCTGGCGCAGCATGGCCCACAGGAGATATACAGAAGAATGTAGAGGTGATTGTACTTGCCAATGACCGGTACCAGCATTGTCAAATCGGCTTCTTTGGAGCAGGCTTGTGACGGATTCCTACATGTTGAATGTATGCACCTTCCTGCCATAGTAAATTCCTTGTTTGTGCAAACTTTCATGGCGAATAAAACTTTTTCTGATTCTAATTCTGATGCTACTGGGCAGTTGGAAGTAGTCCCTCTTCAATAATAACGGAGGGTGGAAGCGATGCTCACAAGGTTGCTAAACTACAGCAAGTTTGCATAGTGGCGAGCAGAGGATTTGCATCTGCCAGTCATTTCAGTTAACCCAGAACACTTAGGTCTGTCTCATGACCTGCCAGCAAGCTTTCTACACTTCACGTGACCTCACGGTGCATTTATCCTAACACACACACTATGGTGACGTCACTGCCGCTTAATGACGAATTGCGGCTGTTGTCATTGGTGTGTGTGTTTGTGTTGCCGTTGTGCATTTAATCAGATTAATGTAGTTGTGCGTGTCATCATGTGTGTGTGTGTGTGTAGGGCCTGCCCACACCTATCTCAAGAATATTAAAATACAATTTATTTGCACTCATATTTCACAATTTGGACGCACTGTTCGATCGATAGCTCGGAGGCGCGGAGCCAGTGCTCAAAGTCCCTTGTACGCCAGCCGAGTCTGAGCAGGTGAGCCTGAGCATGTGAGCCTGAGCAGGTGAGCCTGCATAGTCGAGCATGAACAGGTGAGCCTTTAGCTGTTGCTTGAGTGTGGATGGTGCTTGGATGCTGCTTGTGTGCAGTGGGAGAGTTCCAGACGGCTGGTGCAGCTTAGTAAGTGTTGTCAGTCTTGTTTATGCATTGTCATTTTGTGTGCATTATCAGTGTGTGCGTGTTTGTGTCATCGTCGTGTGTTGCGAGTGTGTTGCTGTGAATACCTATTGCAATCGATGATGTGCAACATCAGTGTCCATGTGGTGATGTTTCCGTGCGCGCACGTGTGGGCACAGATGGAGGTGAGTGGCGCTGTGAGCTGTACGGGGAGGTGGAGGCGTCGTGCTGCCGCGCGGAGGTGAAGGAGCGTGGTGGGGTGCTGCAACTCACCATGCCCAAGCGCATCCCGCTCTACACGTGGCCCGCACTCACCACCACGGTGAGTCTCACTCACCAACACACCTGCACACTCACCAGCACACTCACCTGCACACTCACCGGCACACCTGCTCACTCACCAGCACACCTGCACACTCGCCAGCACACCTGCACACTCACCAGCACACCTGCACATTCACAAGCACACTCACCAGCACATTCACCAGCTCACCTGCACACTCACCAGCACACCTGCATGCTCACCAACACACCTGCACGCTCACCAGCACACTCACCAGCACACCTGCACTCTCACCAGCACACCTGCACATTCACCAGCACACTCACCAGTACACTCACCAGCACACCTACACATTCACCTGCACACTCACCGGCACACCTGCGCTAATGGTTGGTGCCCAGCGACTGTGTGGCTCAGCTCAGAGAGGCAGTTCCTGTGAGACAGTCCCATGTGAATGTAGGGTTCTTAGTGCACTGTTTCCATTGTCCCGTACCCCCCAATCTCCTCTTCTAAGCAACACGCCATTGATTATAAATGACAAGTAAAAAAGTTACATAGCAAGAGTAGTGTAATTGCGATGTGATTGTGTTAAACTAGCGACTGTTGTTACCGCGTGGCGGCGCACCACGAGAAGGGGGGGTACAATCAAGGGGGGCGATGCGTGTAAAAAGAGAAAAGAACGGGAGAGGGAAGAGAGAAGAGAATGGGAAATGAGAGTAAGAGGATGAGAAAGGAACGGAGAAACGGGAGCTCAGGGTCAGGAGAGGGAGGGAGAGGCAACATGGGGGCCTTGATGCTGCTGCATGGAGGAGGAGCAGCGTCTGTGGTCACAAGGGGCGGCGAGATGGGGTGGGGGGTCAGAGTGGGGGTGGCCACATAGATTGTCGCGTGATTTAGAGGAGGCTTGAGCTGGTTCAGAGAGAGAGAGGGGGGGAGTGGTAGTACTGTGGTTTGTGCACTGCATTAGAAACTCACCCACCTAAGTTTGATTCTGGGCCATGGCTTACATCAGCGGTGAGCGATATCGGAACCTGTCCAGAGGTATCCATCCCTCCTTCGCCAAATCTGCACTGACGAGTGGGGCGAGGTGTGGTCAAACAAAACCCCGTTATTGTATCCAGCAGTGGATTGACATGATAATTTGATTAAACATGAACTTTTCTAAAAGTTCACAAAAAACACGGTTACTTCGACATTGTTCACACCGAGAGCCGTCGCAGCATTCACTTTGAGCTGTTGTTTGCCACACAGTGCCGCGCCGCTCTGTGGCATGTTTATTTGTAGCAGCTTTCACATCACTTGTGACAAACATAACAGCCATGATCAATCCACTGCTGGATGAAGACTTCCTCGAGCCATCCTCACAAGATGGCATTGGTAATCTCAGATTACTCGGGTAATCTGAGAGGGCAGTTTAGATGGAGCGAGGACATCAGTTCACTTGCGGTTGTAGCAGCAATGGGCCGTGAGGGATTGGGGATGACGTGGGTGAACCTTCATCCAGCAGTCGATACACGGTGACTGATGATGATGATGATGAATGGGACGTTGCGGAGACTCTGTACATTTTGGGTTCTTCTTGCAGAAGAAGAAACCGGCGGAGGAGGTGACCGAAACATCCGGTGTCTCCCCACCACGTCTCGCGGAATCGGCAAAATCGACCACCGGCAACGGCACCGGCATCGTGCCCCACCGGTCGCTCGCCAGGGAAGCCGAGGAGACGGTGGCGGCTGTGGCGCCAGCACTGATACCATCGCTGGCTGAGGCAGCGCCGCCGGCAAGCGCCCCTCCCAGGCCTGTTGGGAAAAAAGGCGGCGGTGGTGGCAGCGGTGGTGGCAGCGGTGGCAAAGCTGCGGCGAAAGCGGCTGTACAGGGAGTGGTGGTGGAGGCGGCGGTATCCCTGCCTACTGTGGTGGAGGACGCTGCGTCGACCGCCAGGCCGGACCTCACGCCGGTGTCCGCCGATGGTTTCCTGACGGAGCCTGACACACAGGCCCCGGCGGGAGTCAAGGTTGAGGCCCCTGTTGAGACCACACCGGTTGAAATCTCTGTAGAAACCCCTCTACCAACCCCAATTGAGAGTCAGGTAGAGACCCCTGTACAAACCCCTATGGAGAGCCAGGTGGAGATCCCTGTACCAACCCCTATGGAGAGCCAGGTAGAGACCCCTGTACCAACCCCTATGGAGAGCCTGGTTGAGACTCCTGTAGCCACACTCGTGGAGAGCCAGGTAGAGACCCCTGTTCAGACCACTGTTGAGTCCCCTCTAAACACCCCTTTGGAAAGCCAGGTTGAAACCCCTGTAGCCACACTTATGGAGAGCCAGGTGGAAACCCCTGTTGAGAGTGTGGGGCAGGACATGGAGGTGGCAGTGGGGGACAGTCCACCTGTGAACACGGCTTTGGATTCAGGGGGGCAGCCGCTGAGAGCACCAAGCGAGGGGAGTGGACCGAGCCATCGCACGGTGGCGTCCTCGTCGTCACCGCCGTCGCCCCGGGGGAAGGATTTGACGAGCGTGGAACCCGCACAGGAGGTGATCTTTGCCAGTGGAACCCGTATACCGTGTGTGCTTTCACTACACTCATCCTCTTGTCCTGCGGTGATTGGGCAGCTCCCAGACGATCGAACACTTGGCCTTCGTTAATAAGACAATCCGAGTCTTAAGATCTCTTGTCTTGAAAACTCATCTTTAAATTGGCCTTTACCCTCTAGTTCTGACCATTCACCCTGATTCTGTTTATTTCCTGATTTCCACACACGGCACATTGGGATCTACGGATGAAGTGGGCCTTACAAATGTCAATTATTATTATTATGACTTGAATTCAGTGAGGTGTGGGGCTTGGGTGTACACCCCAGGTGTGCCAACAGTATTCCATTCAACTTTAGCCGCATTTGTGACTTGTATTGAAGGTGGCAGAGTACAGTCTGCAGCCCAATGCAGCAGAGCTGAAAGCAGGAACAAGTCGAGTGGACGGGGAGGAGTTGGGGTCGTCGGTATCATCGGAGGCGGGGTGTGAGACCTTCAGCAGCCCACCTCTGATGTGCACTGGTGAGTTAGACTATGTGCGCTAGCAGGTGAGTTTGTGTGTGTGTGTGCCCTTACTTGCATCTCTACCTCCTGTGTGTGTACGCAATGTCCTTACCTGCTTCTTTACCTCGGTGTGGGTGTGCTCAGCTCAATGTCCTTACCTGCATCTCTACCTGTGTCTGTGCGCAATGTTCTCCCCCGTGTCACCACCTCCGTGTATCTGTGTCCGCGTGTCGCTCCCCGTGTGCCGCTTCCCGCGCTTCCTCGGTAACCAGCCCCGGAGCCCCGGCGCGTGTCGTCCCTACGACACGGCTGGTACGAGGTGGGGGCGGACTCGGTGGGGGTGCAGGTTTACAAGCGCGACATTGCGCCCAGCGACACGCACGTCATCTTCCGCGACCACGACTTCACGCTCATCTTCACCAGCAGGTGAGGTCGCCGCAGGAGATGCGTGGCTAATCAATCTATAGCCGGGCTCTGATTTCCTTGGCAGCCGATGCCTCTGCCGGTCGATTTATCGACCAATCTGATAAAATAACAGCTGAGCAATTAACTTGCTTCCCTCTGTGTGCGTGCGACTGTCAAAGCGACCGGAAGTTCTTGGAGAAGGAGGGCGTGGCGGGCAGTGGCCCCACCGTGTTCAGCTGGCAAGTGAAGCTGCGGTGAGTCCACTCCATGGGGGGGGGGAAGGTGGAGGTTACCTTTTATAGGTGCTCACTAACAGCACGAACATTCTTGTTTGGGCTATAGGGTGGGTCTTTTTGTGTGCGTCCACGCAGAAACGGCATCACCCCCGACGAGTGCTCCTTCGTGAACCGGATGGCGGTGGTGGAAATAAAACTGCGCAAGAAGCAGAGCCAGAAATGGGGCGCACTCGAGGCTCCGTCCAACCAAGGTCTGGTGCGATCACGCACAAGCGCGTGGCGTGTGCTCGTGTGTCGCGCCTCACCGGTTCCTTCAATCGGTGGAATCCTTAATGCCCACTGGGACACTGCCGTGGCGATTGATTCGTGATCGATTTTTGGGTGACGCCGCGTGGCGATCCGGTCTGTTTCATGGCATTTATAGAGCCTCCGCCAACTGACATGGCCAGACAAATAAAATTGTCACATGTACGAGGATTTCATGCGTTGATTGTAATTGTTCCGGCCAAACGGTAAGTTTGAAGGACAATTCTCAGAACCAAATGTGCCAATGAGATACGACGTTTCGCTTGAAACTACGTCGGGCATCCTCGAGACGAGATAACAACACGCGGTGCAACCTAGGAGACATCTAACCTTGTCCGTCGACCCTTGGCACTCCGTTCACCGTCCCCGCACCTCGCTCGTGGACCCCCGTAACCCCGTGCGACGCATGGTCACTTATGGCAAGGTCTCGTTGCGCTGCCTCCAAGGTGCAGTGGGAGGTGCCAGGGTGGCGTGCCCGGCGAGCGAGGCGTGGAAGACTGCGGCGCCCGCCGGGCAGCAAGTGGGACAGCCGCCGGCCGTGGGCCAGCTGGGCGAACCGCTCGCTGAGCCCAGGGCCAACCGCACCGCTAACGTCACCGCCAACGCGACGGCGACAGCGGCCGCCAGGGCCGCGAATGGCGCGGAGTCCGAGATGGAGGTGGCGGTGGTGCCGGCGCTGGGCTGTGCTCCGTGCGTCGGCAGCGGGGGCGCTGCTGCGGCGGCCCAGAGGACGCTGGAGCGCGGCGCGGTGTGTGTTTGGCGAAGCGCCGAGTCGGCCCACGTGATCGTAACGCGTTGCTCACTTGCACCAACAACGTTTGTTTGAATTCGTGACGTCCTGAGCGCGGGCCCAATGGCCTAAAGGCCCAAAACTTCAAGTGGCTAGCATGTAAAAAGGCAATTTATTTTTGCTTAACACGTAATACGTTTCTGGCACAGATTTGCCACCCAAAGCACCATTGCATCAATACACCCATAAACAAAACAAAACATTTCTAATAATAAACAACAAACGGCAATGTCAAGGTTGAAATAGCTAACAGTGTAATACTTTTATTGACTTGAGCAAGGCTATTTTAAGAGCTTGGAGGAACGAAACGTTGGAGGAGGGAATTCCAATGTGGAGCAGTGTATGGTGACGCTGCGACGGCTCGCCAGAAAGTATATTAAATAACCCGCCTCTACTTAGACAGCAACACTTTAATGCAGTTGCATTTCGAGATGCTTTGTATGCATGTATTTTGAACTTATTTCGCACCGTACGTAGCCAGCCATGCCAATCAGAATATACTGGAGGAATCCGATGAGCTATAAAGCTCTTTTTCACAGATGTCCAGTTGGTGCGGGTAAGAACGTTACAACAACGAACAATACAAAAGCATGATAATAGTGCAAAGTACAAGAAAGGTAAACAAATCACCCAAACACATACAAATACAACTAAACCATCCCCATCCTACCAGGCAAAGCCCACTGAGGTATTAACTTATTTTTCATAAGCCTTCTGGCCAAAAATGTTTGCGAGACAAGGGAAACGTAGGAGAGGGGAAAGAGAGCAATTCAGCGCCATGGCCGGGTACCGTGCAACTGAGGCCCGGCACCACCAACAACAATAACAAGGAGCCGCGATGGCCGGGACAGTCAGGGCAGCACCAACAAGTTCCGGGGTATTCTTGAAGGAGGGGCGGGGCATTTCTTCAGATATACTTCTGATTTGAAATAATAATTTGCAGAGCTTCAAGTGTCATTTGTAGACATTTTCGGGAACGATTGAACGTCCGATTAATCATCGTGGTGATATTGATGGCTGTCCCATGTTCCGCCCTCAGCCCCCGATGGTCCGCTCCGGTCGCCGTGACGACGATGAGGGGGAGGACGACGAGGAGGAGGGGGCGGTGGCAGGGGCAGCGGTGGCTATTCGTTGTCACGTTGACGGGGACCGGGAGGCGGTGGAGGGCCGTCGCCACGGTTACACGGGGCTCATCAACCTGGGCAACACTTGCTTCATGAGCAGCGTCATCCAGTGCCTGTCTAACACGCGCGAGCTCAGGGACTTCTTCCTTGGTGAGAACCAGCAGCACCAGCAGCAGTAACAGCGGCAATGTCACCAGTTTCAGCACCTGTAACTTTAGCCATGTCTGCGGTGGTACGAGCGGCTTTGGCAGTACTTGTTGGGGCAGCAGCTGCTTTGAGAATGGCAACCAAACAGCTATTCTTGGTTCTTTGGGTAAAGTCACGTAGAAGGGAAAAAATAAAATAATACAAATATAAAACAATAAAATCCTCACGACGTTTCGACTGTAACACAAGCAATCATCATCAGGTGTGGCGGTTTTTTCAAATTTTCTTGTTGTGGATTTCACACCTGATGATGATTGCTTGTGTTGCAGTCGAAACTTCGTGAGAATTTTATTGTTTTATATTTTTATTGTTTTATTATTTTTCTTCTACGTGACTTTACCGAAAGAACCAAGAATATGAATCCCTGCAGTCATGAAAGCTTTAAATCAAAATTTAACCAAACAATTGTGAAGCAGTGGCATTGACCTGGTTGTATGCCGTCTCCCCACGCTCTCCCCACTGTCTCTCTCCTCGCTGTCCCTCTCCCCACTCTCCCCTTTGCCTCTCTCCCTCACCCCACTCTCCCTTCCCCCCCCCTGTCCCTCGCCGCGCTACTCCGCTACTTGGCTCGTGCAGACAAGGGCTTCGAGGCCGAGCTGAACATGGAGAATCCTCTGGGCACGGGCGGCCGCCTCGCCTCCTGCTTCGGCCGCCTGTTGCATACGCTGTGGAGCGGCACGCAGGACGCCGTGGCGCCCGCCCGCCTCAAGGTGCCACGTCGGGGACGAAGGGGAGGAGGGACAGAGGGGTGTGCGTGTACACCCATTTGTGCATTCGGTGGCCGAGCGTGGTGCTGTCCATCCACCCCCTCGTGTGCCGTGCCGGCCTTCGTAGGTTATACTCGCCAGCAGCACTCGCCCCAGCAGTCTTATTGAAGGCTCTTTGGGGGGTCTTTGTCTTTGTGTGCAGTCGGTGGTGGGTGGCAAGGCGTGCCAGTTCACGGGCTACTCGCAGCATGACGCGCAGGAGTTCATGGCCTTCCTGCTGGACGGGCTCCACGAAGACCTCAACCGCGTGCGGCACAAGCCCTACACGGCCACCGTGGACTCGGACGGGCGGCCCGACGCGGTGCGGCACGGTTGACATGGGCGACCACCGGGTCCCTCCGTAGTTGTCCGCTCGTTCGTCCGCACGTTGTTAACCAGCTCCGTCCTCTCCCTTCGTCACGGTTTTTACAAATGAATCGCTCCTTGACATCAGTAGCGGTGTCACTCAGCACTGGGTGAAAATTTATAACATAATTTGCTCTCATCAGAACTAATTGTGAGATTCTTCAAATGTGCAATCCTTGGTCGCCTGTTCTACCGGGCAGTGACGTAACCCAGCTGCAGAGGTTTACGGTTTCCAGCAGCTGCCCTGGTTAATACTGCAGTGTATGATAACCATAAAAACACCATGAGCTGTCTGCTTCGCTCAATGGACATTAAAAGATTCCTTACTTCATTCGTAAGAGTAGGCCATCGTGTGCCGGCGTTGGATTCCACATTTACCAAATTCAAATATTATACTGCAGATTACTCAATTGGGATCACCCACATAGCAGCAGACTAATTCTGGCAGACTAATGCCCCAGGTAACTCTTTTAAATGAGACTCCTATCCTGGTCTCTTGAGTTCTCACCTGGTTGAACAAAATCAACTTAATCTCCCCTCTCCTCGCTCTACGCTCGCCCCCTTCCTGTTCACCAACTCGCCCGTTCACCGTGGCGCCACCGGCGCTCGCTCGCTCGCTCACTTGCTCATTTGCTCACTTGCTCGCCCGCGCATGCAGGTGGTGGCGGAGGAGGCGTGGGCGCGTCACAGGCAACGCAACGACTCCTTCGTGGTCGACCTCTTCCAGGGGCAGTATAAGTCGACCCTTGTGTGCCCGGTCTGCAGCAAGGTGGGGGCCCCCTCCCCCCCCCCTCCCTCCACACCTATGCAGTTTTCCCCTCTCTTAATAGCCTAGTACCTGGGCCCCTCCGGCCCGTGGGCCCCAGTGCAGGTGCATTTGCTGCACACTCGGAAGCTACGCCACTAATCTTGGCGATGACCCATGCGTGACCTCTGCTGACAACGTGACCCCGAGACAGAATGTCAATTCACCGCCGCTGTGACATTGAAACCACGACCAGATCACTGGGTATGCGTCCGTGATCCTGTAAGACCTCAGAAGCTAAACAGGCTTGAGCCTGCATAGTCGTTGGATGGGCAACCGCCACGCACAAACACGTTAATTACAGAGCTGTGAGGATACGTGGTGGGCAGCAGAGGGAAGTGCAGAGGGATCCACAACTCTCCTGTGCTTGTATGTTTCCACGTTCTTGTTCGCTGCCTTCAACCTGCACTGACCGTCACTGTCAAGTAATCTGGCCACCCACCCCTTCATATGCCGTGCTGGCTTTCATCGATGCTCGCAAACAGCACTTGCCCCAAAAGTCTGTTAAGGCTACACGGAGATCTTTGTTTTTTGTGAAGTAGAGCCCGCGGCCATCCTAACACGTATCGCATTACTCCGTACCATCTCTACCCCCCCCCGCCCATGATTTCTGCCGAACAGGTGTCGATCACCTTCGACCCCTTCCTGTACCTGCCCGTGCCACTGCCGCAGCAGCAGAGGATGCTGAACGTGAACTTCTACTCTCGAGACGCCGCTTCTTCGCCGCGCGAGGTGACCAACACTGCCGCTCCCAACGAACACGGCGACAACCGCCCCCTATTGTCAAACACAACGACAGCTGCCCCTTGTTAAACGCAGCTACAGCCGCCTCCTGTTAAACACAGCTTCAGCCGCCCCTGTCAAACACAGCTACAGCCGCCCCCTGTTAAACGCAGCTACAGCCGCCCCCTGTTAAACACAGCTACAGCCGCCCCCTGTTAAACGCAGCTACAGCCGCCCCCTGTTAAACACAGCTACAGCCGCCCCCATTGTCAAACACGACAGTTGCCCTGTCAAATGCAACTTACGGCCATCCCCGATTGTCAAATGCAACTTACGGCCACGCCCGATTGTCAAATACAGCTACAGCTGCCCCCTGTTAAACGCAGCTACAGCCGCCCCCTGTGAAACGCAGCTACAGCCCTGCCCCTGTGTTCGGGGACACTGTTGCACGATGGTCATCGCGCCGCGCTACGAATCCGGCGCCCCGAGTTAGATTGCCGCTTACGCCCCTGTTGGTCGCATCTGCCGACAACAACCCCTCGCGAGTCAGAGCCACGGCCGCCCCCTGTTCAACGCGATCCCCAGGGAGGCGATTGCCCGTGCCTGACTTGTAGCTGGTCACCACCAGCACTGGTGACGCCATTTTCTCCCATGTGCTGGCACCGTGGGCAGGTGACGGCGAGCGTTGACAAAGCGGCCAGGGTGTTGGAGGTGCTGGATGCGCTGTCGGAGCAGACGGGTGTGGAGCGGGAGAATCTGCGTCTCATTGAGGCACGACCACACTCTCTTTTCCTCTCTCCCACTCGCTGCGCTCTCAGCAACCTACGTGCTCTCACCCAATCACACACCCCACCACTCATTCACTCACAAGCACCTACTCGCATAGTCACTCATACACTCACAAAAGCACACGCTCACTCAGTAAAACAATGCTTACTCGAATAAACATATGTGTACATGCGTGTTTGTGTATATCGCCCGCGTGTTTGTGTGCTTGTACGTGCATGTGTGGGGAGCAGTTAGCGAGCTGCGCTACTAACCCGGTGACCCGAGTTTGATTCCCGCTCATGGCCAACACCAGTGATGATTATCTAAACCGGTCTTGGGCCTCCCCGAGGTCGACTCAGTCTCAAATAAGTACCTGGTGCAGTGTGTAAACATCGCCACTCGGGAGAAAAAGGCGGCCGAGCTTGGGTGCTGGTCACCCACCCCCTCGTGGGCCATGCCGGCCTTCGTAGCTGCTCACTCGCAGTACTTGCCCCCAAGAGTCTGTTAAGGCTACACGGGGGATCTTTGCCTTTGCAGGTGTGCGGCTCGGCATTGCGGCGCGTGCTGCTGCCCCCCCAGCCGCTGGACGTGCTGCCCGCGGGCAGCCGCCTCCTCTGCTTCGAGCTGCCGGCGCCAACGGGGCAGCACGAGCAGCTAGTGGTGATGTCCGTCTCGCAGGTGCCTGCTTGCCCGCCCGTCCGTCCGCCCGCCCGCCCATCCGTGCGCTCACTCCCTTAACCGTGCCCCTGGCTAGCACACTGACACGGCCATTATGAATCTCCTGAGAGAGACACCCAGTCCCAGTAGAATTGAACCCAGAATCTCAGCAGTGCTGGCTCAGTATCTCTGACGCGGCCATTATGAACCTCCTGGGATAATCGCCCGGCACCAGTGATTGCACCCGGGAAGTTTATGGTGTTGGAAATAGTGCACTGGACTTGGCCATTATGATCACCTTGATAGACTCACCACCTGTGATTCATCATGGCATCTCAGAGGTCCCGTCTCTTTACCCCGACACAGCCATTATGAACCCGCAGATTTAAACACTACAAATCTCCATAGCTATAAGACTCTATGCGAGTCATTGATGACCAGGCTGAGACCATGAACTCGCGATGCTAGAACCCGGTTTAATCGCAGGCAGCCGACACGAGGATTCAAACCCAGGATACCAGCAGTGCCGGCTCAGTGTCTCTGCCCTCTGAGCCCCCCCCCCCCCCGTCACCGCGAGCCGCGAGCATCCTGTTTTTACGGAGCTAAGAATCTCGTTTGGTAAGTGCAGACCACTCTGATTCATTGGAAGATCACGCTTTGTCTTCTGCTGGCCCCGTAAGCCTCGAGTCTACAACACCTGTAATTCCCATCCAGTGTGACATCTAACTCCTTACCAGGCTCAAATCTGTTTGGCTTCCAATATCAATTTCTCTCCGATGCTGAAGCCTCGTGCTAAGTGCCGCCCCCCCCCCCCCCTCCCGACCGCATGTAGCGTCTCATGGTGTCTGCCGTGCCGGTGCTCGCCTGCGCGTTCTGCCGCCAAACGCCGGGTCCTGCCGCCCGCCTGCGCCGATGCACCAAGTGCTTCTGTGTCAGCTACTGCAACACGTGAGAGAGCGCTGTTAAAGACAGGGGAACACCAGCTGTGTCAACCACAACCGCTGTCGACCACAGCCACCATTGTTAGCCACAACTACCACCGTCGGCCACAGCCACCACTGTCGGCCACAGCTGCCATTTTCAACCACAGCCACTGTCAAAAACAGCCACAACCAGAGCCACTGTGGTTGACAGTGATTTGGTGCTGATGTATGTATTTCTGTGTGTGTGTGCATATAATAGTTGTTGGGGTGAGTTTTTGTTAGTATACCCTGTGTATTTACGCATGTGTAAATACCCATACAGGTCTTCTTAGGAGCTCGCAAACAGCACTTGCCCCAACAATCAGTTAAGGCTATATGGGGGATCTTTCTTTTTTTTTGCTTTTTTTTTTTACTCTTTTTTTTTTTACTCTTTTTTTTTGTGCAGTTCATGCCAGAAGAGCCACTGGGAAGATCATCGTCACGTGTGCCGCCCGGAGCCCGTGGGCAGCCCCTTCGTGCTGGCACTGCCGGCCACGCGGCTCACCTACACCGCACTTGCAGAGGCAGCCAGCAGCATGGCCAGGTGGTTACGGACCGCGACTCGCTAAGAACACACACACCTCGCCAAGAACACACACACCTCATACACTCACCAATACTGAAGCCCGACCACCTATGTTTCCCCAGTGTTGATGTTTACACACGACACCAGGTATGAATGTAAGACTAAGTTGACGTAGGTGTGGCCCAGGACCGGTTCAGATAATCGTCACCGCTGTTGGCCGTGAGCGAGAATTGAACTCGGGTTGCCGGATTTGTAGTGTAGCGTGCTCACCGCTACCGTACCGATTCCCACCTACACACGCACACAACAACAACAACCGCCATTCGCCACTAAGTGGCGGTGACGTCACCACGACGCTTGTGCCAGGCCATGTGCACCTAGAGACCACGTGAAGTGTCGAACGCCCGCTGGCAGGAGGTCACGGGGCAGACCCAGGTGCCACGGGTCGACTGACTGAGATGACTGGCTGATGCACCACCTGTGCCCCCTACTGTGCTAACTTGCTGTGCTTTACACATGCACCTCGACACACGCCTCATACGCGTGCTGTCTCTGTCCGTCAGGCTGTCGGTCACGGTGACGCCACTGCCCAGGGAGTATCCTCCTCCCGTTCCTCCTCCCCGTGACTCCCCGAGCGACGACCACCCGGCCGCGCCGGCTCTCCCCTGCTCCTCCCACCCAAAAGCTGAAGCCGGGCCCAGGCCGACGGGGCCAGGCGAGGCCCAGGGCTCAGCGGAGCCTGACGGGGCCCGGGCCGCGGCACCGGCGGCGATGTCCGCCGAGGGAGAGGAGACTGCGGCGAAGGGGGGGGTGGCACGAACAGGTGAGCGTCGCCGGAGGGGATGATAATAATAATTTACAATCTAGATTTGATGCTTTCGTGACTGAAAGGATTCATACTCTTTGTGTTTTTTCGGTAAAGCCACGTAGGTAAAAACTAAAATCAATGAAAATAACTAAATGAAATCACGACGTTTCGGGCGTCCTTCAGGTGGGGACAACGTAGCGAAAGCACAACCGCTTAAGTGTGTTTAAGAGCCACGTTGTCCCCACTTGAAGAAGGACGCTTGTGTTGCGCCCAAAACGTCATGATTTAATTTAGTTGTTTTAATTTATTTTATTTGTTTTTTTACCTTCGTGACTTTACCGAAAAAAAACAAAGAGTACTTAGAAGAAGGTGATCCAAAGATCAATGCTGATGAATGCTGTTCCTTTTGCATACTGGACTTGCAATCCAGATGTGGCTGGTTCGATTTCCTGGCATGGCGATTTAAACTATGGGCACATTTTTCTGGTAGGAACCTCCTGGTTACACCAGCCCACGGGATTATTATGTCCGTCGTGCAGGGAGGGGCTGGGTGGGGAGGGGAGGGTGGGGAGGAGCTGGGTGGGGAAGGTGAGGCTGGGTGGGGAGGGGAAGGAAGGGCTGGGCAGGGAGGGGCTGGGTGGGGAGGGTGGGGAGGGGCTGGGTGGGGCTGGGTGGGGGGTGGGAGGGGTTGGGTGGGGAGGGGCTGGTCGCCCCGTGGTGCCCTTATAAAACTCAACGTTTAACTTACTCACGCCGGCTTGTGCCCGCCCTCACAGTCGGCCATATTTGCGGAATACACCACGCTGCTGTTGACCCTGGCCATTGACCGAGCAATCCAACGTTCCTACCAGCTCCCTCCGCAGGAATGTGTTTTAATCCCCCCCCCTCCCCTCTGTCCACCCACCTATTCTCGCCTCTCTCCCTCTCTCCCTGACCGTGGATTCTTTTAGCCGGAGCCCAGTTTCCATTCGTGCTTCGTCTGGTGGAGAATGGGAAGGAGTCGGAAATCGATGACAAAGGTACGGCGTGTACACGTCTGTGCACTTGCTCGCGCGTGCACATACACACACATAGACAAAGATCCCCCGTATAGCCTTAATAGACTGTAGGGGCAAGTGCTGTTAGCGAGCAACTATAAAGGTGACCAAAACCACGCCCGGCCGCCTTTGTCTTCCTAGCGGCAATGTTTACACATCGCACCAGGTACTCATTTGAGGCTGAGTCGACCATTTGAGGCTGAGTCGACCTAGGGGAGGCCCAGGACCGGCTCAGATAATCGTCACTGGTGTTGGCCATGAGCTGGAATCGAACCTGGGTCGGCACACATACATACACATACACACATACACACACACACTGCACGTATACATTTTTATCAGCCTGCATAAACATGTGCATATGCGTATACACATACGCACGGGCACATGTTTGTGTACACCTGTGTGCATGTGTCAGGCAAATGGTGAGACCCAATCTAAGACATAATCCCAAAGTACTGCCCCAGTGAGACCCAATCTAAGACATAACCCCAAAGTACTGCCCCATTGTGTTACTATTACATCCACTTAGTACTGCATTGACTCGGAAACATGCCCACATGGAGACGCTTAGACTCGCATAGGGATGCCCTCACATTTAGGCGCTCTCCGAGTCTGGGTCTATGCGAGTCTGTGGGTCTCTGTGTGAGTGTATGAGCCACTGTTTCTGCACAACGTCTTGAGATGCAGTCGCATTGTGACCTCGCTGTATCAATCCACACTGTACTTGAACTGTGTCGCTCTGCGTCTCTGTCGTGTGTTCGGACTCAGGCGAGATGCCTCTGGCACTCCCCGTCGACGCGCATCTTGTGCTGGAGTGGAGGAATCACGAGCGTTACCGCGACGCTGTCGCCGTGGTGACCCGGGAGATGGGAGGGGCGACCGGCGGAGTTGTGACCCTGCAGCAGTGCCTGCAGCTGTTCACGCGGCCTGAAAAGCTGGCACCGGAGGAGGCCTGGTGGGTGCAGAAAGCACACGCGCGCGCACACACACATACCTGTGTGCATGCATGTGTGTGTACGTGTAGTTGGCCACCCACCCCCTCGTGTACCGTGCCGGGCTTCATCGGTGCTCGCTAACAGCACTTGCTTCAAAAGTCTGTTAAGGCTACACAGGGGATCTTTGTCTTTTGCCCATTTAGATCTGTATGTGGAGTGGTAGTAAAGTGGTTAGCGCATTGCGCTAAGAACCAAGTGACCCAAGTTCGATTTCCACTCGCAGCCAACACCGGTGACGAGTATCTGAACTGGTCCTGGGCCTCCCCTAGGTCGACTCGGCCTTAAATGAGTACCTGGCGCGGTGTGTAAACATCAGCTGTGCGGAGACAAAGGTGACCGTGCATGGTGTCGACTGACATGGGTGCTACTCGCTGACACCACTTGCCCCAACTGTTAAAGGCTACGCGGGGGGTCTTTGTCTTTGTGTGTCACGGCAGGTACTGCCCCGTGTGCAAGACCCACCGGCAGGCGTCCAAGCAGCTGTCTCTGTGGCGCCTGCCCAATGTGCTCATTGTGCAGCTCAAGCGCTTCTCCTTCCGCAACCTCCTGTGGCGCGACAAGCTCAACAGCATGGTCGCCTTCCCCGTCAGGTGGGGTGGCGTGCATACACGCACCCGTACATGAACACGCGCACCCGTACATGGGCACACGCACATGCCTGTGTGTATACACACACACACCTGCACGTGTGTTAACATACACACTTGTATGTGTACGCACACACATACCTGCACGTGTGTCTACACGCACAAGCATACGTATACACAAGCATACCGGTGTGTGTACACACACTCTCCTGCACTTGCACACAGCCTCCTGCACACACACTTGCCACTGACGTTGGCCGTGGCCGGAAATCAAACTCAACTCGCCAGGTTTGTCGTGCGATGCGCTAAGCACTGCGCCGCTGCTCCCCACAAGCACGCACACCGGTGCACGCACGCACGTGCACACTCGCACACTTTGGCAAAGTTCACCACCCTGACTCCTTGTGATGCTGGTGACCCCGTAGGGAGCTGGACCTGAGCGAGTTTGGGGTGCGTGCCACGCGTGGCGGAGGCGGTTGCAGCGGTGGCGGCGGGGATGGTGCCGGGGGGGGCGAGGGCCCCGGGGGTGGGGGACCCCCACCCGTGTACGACCTGTACGGAGTCATCAACCACTACGGGGGCATGGTGGGGGGCCACTACACGGCCTTCGCACGCCTGCCGCACGCTCACGACACGCGGCACAACCACATCGGTATGTGTCGAGCACAAACACCATCATGGCCACACCATCGCCAGCACTGCCACACCACCACCACCACAATTTCTGCAGCCACCATCACCACCATGATCGCGGTGGTGATCACGCGACCCTTACCGGACTCGGGACGGCAATCCGCACACTCTCGCACACACGCACCGTGCTCACCGCACTCTCACTGGCCCTCGCACACCACACCCACAGCACGATCGCAGCGTTGACGCGTTATACACTCGGTGCACTTGCACTGCAACTCTGACCTCGACCACGGACATCGCTCGCCGCGCTCGATCACGTCGCTCTTGCACGTCTGCTGCAGATGCCGAGCGTGTCGCTCACCGCCCCGTGTCACTCTGTTTTGCAGGTTGGCGGCTGTTTGACGACAGCGCGGTGGTGGAGGTGGACGAGTCGGATGTAGTGACCCGCCACGCCTACGTGCTGCTCTACCGGCGCCGCGACTCGCCCGTGCCACGCCCCTCCGCACCACCAGCCCCACACGCTGGGGTTGGTGCCAGCAATGCCGGTACTGCCGGCGCCGTCAGCACCAGGGTGAGCGGCTCGCGAGGCGTGGTTTTATTCAGCGATCGATTCGGTTTAGTAAAAAAAATTTGAACTTCATCAGCAACACTGTGTGGGCTTTAAAGTGATGGAGGAGCGTACTAACGTTGTGCAACTCTCTTCCTGTGGCTATGATTGTGTCGGTGTTGTGTCTTTGTGGTGTTCTCTCGTGTTCGTGTTGTGTTCACCGCCGTATCCTTGATCTTGTTTGTGTTATTTTTCTTGGTATTCTCGTACAATGTCTGATTTCAATGTGGTTTGCCATATTGAATGTTTTCTGGTTTAATTTGCATGAATGACGCTAAGATTTAAAATTAAGTTGTTTTTGTACTGTAAGTACAGCAGAGCGGTAAAAAAAATGCTAAATACAATGACAACATTTATGAGAAACTCATTTCGTGATAGTTGTCATGTCATATGACAAGACATCACGGGAGCGACCGGCTGCAGCGTTTGATTGCTGTGTCGGCGTGTCCCATCATGTGCGTACCCTCCCTCTCTCCGATCTCACTCGGTGAACGGAGTTTGCTTCAGTGCACGTGTTTTTTACGCTGCCGAAGCGCCCGCGTGCCAATCAGGGGGGGGGGGTTCACTGGAATGGCGAGCGTGACGAGGGCGAGTGACGCACGGCAGCCAGGGCACTGACGCACGGAGGTTTCATCGCGGAAGGAATGTCGTGTTTCTGGTCGATTCACTCGCGTCCCACGTGCGCACTCCGACCATTGCTTCAGGGTTCGTTGCCGTGGACGGGGGCAGGGTCAACTTGGCGAGCGATTCTGACTTTGAACTTGAATCTGACGAATATTTTCCTCCAATTTTACGTACAAAATTTACTCTGGAGAGAGAGCCGGATAGATTGACTCTCACATACCTGGTTTACTAAATTCAATAGGGACTTGTAGCAATACTTGAATAGAGACAGGCAGTTGACAGCATGGACCACTGGGGGATCACGGAAGGTGGTGGCAGCAGTGGAGAATGAGCGACCTCCCACTGAGAGATTGACTGGATTTGACTGATGAACGATCCAAACTCCACGTGAATCTCGCCACATGCTTCCCGCACGCGGCTTCTGACATCCGTGTGTGCCATTCGTCCGCCTCTGCCCCCCCCCCCCCCCCGCCGTATTGGCTGCAGGATGAGGCGCCGGGCGGTGGCGCGGCGGAGCTGGCGGCGCTGTCCTCTGCCGGCGCCAGGCTGCGCGACCCGCCTGTCCAGCCCGCAGTGCCGGCCTCCCCGCTGGCATTCACCGACATGGAGGAGGTGGACTGATGATGCGGTGCGAGGAGGGCATGGCGGCGGCGGCGGTCAGGGTGGTGGTGGTGCTGGACCGCGTTTCCAAGTCCCTCTTTCCAGTGGCAGCCACTGGACATTTTCAGCGACAAAAAAAAGAGAGTTGGGTCAAAATTTGCGAGGTCTGCGACAAACGGCGGCAACCGTGGGGGTGGACCGAGGTTGGGGTGGAAGGGGGCAGGGAAAGTTCAGCGGAATATTTTGACATCTGTGGTTTTCAATCGACGTAGAAAATAATTCCCCCCCCCCCTCTCCTTCGTAGTTTGAAGCGAAGGGCGTCGTCGCTCGGTCGTGCTCGTTCTGCGGCGTCGATTGCGGAGTACCGATCCACGAGAAAGCCCAGCGGCTCGACCACACCACCCACACAGGCTGGAAACGGCCCGAAGTTCCGGTCATAATCCGATCGGTTCCTCGCGACGCGGTTTTGTGTCAAATTCACTCGTCAGTAGCACGTGGCAGGGCTCCTATTTTTGTTGCACGTCCATCCCTAAGCTCTCCTTTGTTGCATTGTGGGAAGTTTATTCACTTTCCGCTAAAGGTCGCGGATTGTATAACACCACCGACTGAGTCCCCTTTAATTTGAATATAAAATAAGGTTGCTAAATCGTTTATTGTTTCTACCTATTGGGTTTTCTATTATACGCAAACATCGTAATGTCATTTATCGTGGGGTATCCGCAGTACGACACATCGAATACTACTGTAACATATTTGGCGGTGTTAATGATTAGTACTACATTACCCTGTTTAAGCGCCACACGCTGTCATTTGCTGGAGTTTGTTACAAACTTGTTTCTGGAATCCTGAAGGTCATAGAGAAACGGGGGTTGGTGGTGGCTCAGGCACGGGGGTTGTACAGTTGTGGGTGGCGTTGTCGTGAAAGGATGTGGCGGTATGAGCGTGGGTGTCACTGGTTGTATCTGGAATCCACAGCACTTCCCTCTGACTTCAGGACCTGTGGCCCGCCCCTCCGTGCCCCTTTTCGGCTGTGACCTCAATGTCAGGCTACGTTGGGCAGGGTTAACCCGGAAGGGCGAACCGTAGAGGCGCTTCACGGGGATGAACTCTTGCTCGTGCAAGTCTCCACATCTTCCAATCGTCCGGCACGAGTAGTGCGTGCGCACAGAGGAAGAGGAACTGAAGTCCCAGGAGCCGGGCTGCAGTCGGTTTGCCGTGCGTGGCTGTTTTGTAAGGGGTTGTTGGGAGCGCGTGGAGAGTTGGCACAAGCTCCTCTCATCCAGAGCGACTCTGACCCACGTCCTCCTGCGTCGTGACATCCAATCTGTTGAGACCCTCGCCAACGCACTTGTGTCTGATTGGTCGACTGAGCGCGACTTCCCTCGTCGCAATTTTTTTGATCTCCTGTGACCTCCGCCCCCCCCCTCCCATGGTCGCTTGTGCGTCCTGGTCGCCGTGCGCCCGCCCATCGGCTGTTGCGCAATGTCGCGCGTTTAATGCTATTTTTCCACTGCACTACCGAACCTCGCCTGGACTGTGCCGAACCAACTTGGCGCAGTTCAAGAGGCGCCAGGTTTTTCCACTGTAGAATCCGAGCCGTGTGCCGCCTATTTCAAACGTAATGGACAATTCGAAGAGGCATGTAGATGAGGCGGTGATGCTGTGTTTTGAGTTGCACTTCTGTTGCCCCTGGCCCTGTTTGGCACCAAGCTGGATTCGGATGTTTTGCAAGGCCAGAATGATCGCAATTTGGTTTTGACTCGACAAACGGCAAGTGGAAAAACGACCCCTGTACCACGAAAGGCCTTGCGCCGGCTCGGTTCGGATGTGCCAATGGAAAAAATACTTACGCTTAACGATTATAAAAAATACAAACCCCACACGGTTTTCTTCGGGGAATGAGTTTGCACACTTGTTGCACTGCATGTACAGACGAGACGATAGCGTTAATAATTATGAGAGGTGAAAAAGAAGTGACTCCTCTGTTTCCACTTTGTGGGAGACGTGTGTGTGTGTGTGTGTGCCGTGCTTGCGTGAAGGTTGTTTGCGTGCGTGAGTTGATCCTGCAGCTCTTGTGCCCCAGGCCTTCTTTACCCAGCTCCTAGCATTTCTCAAAACCATCATCTCACCTACCGCCTACTCCAGACTATCAGCGACCCGGAAAAGTATCCATCGGTGTGCGGATAGAGATGACGATTCCTGCCCCAGTCGCTCCCAGATTTTTCTGCGTCCGCCCTTTGCTTGAATCTGCTGCACGTGACACCCACTCGTGGGCCTTTCTCTGCCTCGCGTTTTTTGTGTGTGTCCATTTTGCACCACTGCTTCCCCTGGTTGTGCCTGTCCAGTGCATCTCCTTTTACAGCACAATGTCGCATATCCGACTCGTATGTGTAACGTGGTCAGATTGGTGAAAATGTGGAAAATGAGTTGCACAACCTAGCACAAATAGGGGACTGGAAAAAAATGAAGCGCAGACTCTTGTGAAGGTGGGGAAATGCTTACCTGTGTACTTTCGAAGTAAGCGATTGTACGCGAAGTTAACAATAACATGACTGCGTGAAACGGTCACATTTTTTATCGTCTAGGCAAATGCGAATCGCGCCGTGCGCTCATACTGCACTGGGTGCGGGCGCATACTTGGTCATGGCTAATATGTGACGGTCGGATATGCGACGTACTGTGCCTGCCTTTTATCCCCCTTCTACATGCGTCTCGTTTGTCTCCCTGAATCATTCTGCCCGTCTCCCCTCGTCCCTTCTCCCAGAGAGTAAACAATGAAGTTGAGATCTTAGCGCTGGCCAGCAGCGCTGAACGTTGCCTGGACGGGTGTAACGAGCGAGCAAAGCGCCCACCTGCACTCACTGAGGTTTTACGCGTTCTCTCCCTGCGTCGTTTATCAAACCGCAGAGAAGAAGGAGCGATTTGAGTAGACACAATTTTACCCCTGACCTGACCTCCGTTCTGCTTTGGGTTTAGGTCTGAATTTGTCGGGCTTAAGAAAATCCCACAGGTGCAGCAGTGGGTCCTCGAAATACCGGGGTCATTCAGAGCTGGAGTGTCCTAGCGTATCTGATTTTCTTCGCAAAACTACGTCACTTCCATGAAGACCCAACATTGAGCCCATTTTCAGCTTGTGATTTTATTAAGCGCTCGACACATTCACGTTACGTTAAGCCACATAGCATCGAACGTGAATGTTATAACGTAACTTTGGAACAACTTAAATATGGCAATTCGGTCTGGAGGTGGGGTGAAGCAGTAAGTGTACAAGGTACACTACAGTATAGTGCAATACTAAACTGGGACTGCCTGGCACGTGGCGGCTTGGCACAGCGTGAGGTTAACAGTGGACAGCCGAGTCGGCATATCTTTGCTTTTTATCGTTCAACTCGCCTTTTGCCCGTCCAAGGACCGGGATGTATTGCAGTAAATCTGAAACTTGTACAGACCGCGACGTGATATTCATTGCATTAATGCGTGTGCAATGTGTAAGGGCGCGGTGACACAGACCTATTTAATTTTAAGGTAATAATCCCTTGCTCATCAAGACGTCCTTTTTACTTTGATGTCTCAACAGCGTTACAGAGATCGCGTGACGTGAGGGTTCTGCCTTTGTAGTGAGGGTTGTAAGTTGACGCCGAGGATGGGGGAGGAGGCGCCTCGTCCCCCCATGTGGAGTGACATCAGCTGCTAATTATTATGAGTGGGGGGTGGGTTTCCATTTGGAGGACGTCACCTGCTCATGAATATTAATTAGGGGGGCTGGTCAATGTGGAGTGACGTCACGAGCGTTAAGGACAGACATTCCTGGGTGATTATAGTCGGTATATCTGAAATTTGGGAGTGCCATTTTCAATCTATTTAAATGCGGGAAACGGTATAGCCACCCACACGCTCTTTCAAGGACACACTGCTGTGTTTTGGTTTTGTTGTCGATGGTTTATATTTTTCTTCTTCTGTCCCATGGCATGCATGGCTTTGGGTTTAGAGATCTTTGTTTAACCCCTAGGTGAGAGGGCAGATTTTGTCAGCAGTCCAGAAACGATGAAGAGCCAGCCACTCTGCATGTTGTCCGCTGGGTTCGTCACCCCCCCCTCCCCCCATTGGCTCAAGTTATGCACCAGGAGTGATCTCACCGCAAGGTCAAGTTCGGCTCGACGCAGCTCATTTTGGACTCGTCAATCAAACTTTATTTGGAGGAGAAAAAAAACGAAAACACATCTGCATGAGTGGGAGCGGCTCGATGCACTCGCCCCATGGCAGCGGAGCCAGACAAGTCCTCCCGATGGGACACTGCCACCGATTTATAAATGCACGTGGCCACGTGCGTGTGTGTTTTGAGGTATGTGGCTCGCAGGGTTTGGAGGTTTTGGGCCCACCCCCGTTTTACCTTTACAATCGTACAATACAACCTTAATGTGTGGATTGTCTCAAAGAAATAATGTCTAAAGATGCTGAACAACAGTTATGCTTTTCACAATAAAACATCGGTGGACGGGTGTATTAAACCTGGCATCGATCCACACCAGTTGAGACGTTGGCCTCGGCTGTGAGCAGGTCTGGTTAACTTTGCTCCTCTGGCAGTTATATTATAGCAAGTCGAGTGAACTCATTACAGCATAGGTTGGCTACGTGCTGTGCGAAAGAAGTTCAACATACAGACTTAAGCATTTAGGTAAATCCACAATTTCGGATGTATATTCCGTACCCTTTCAAAAGGTGGATAATCATTAGTTTAACCATTCAGTGGGGTTTTTTTTTGCATAAAATATCAACCAATTGCGACTTAATCAAGGGGGAATGCTCTTAAAATGTCAATGTCGGACGTACGAAAAACAAACGGAGTCATAAGGGATTTCCTGCTCCAATGAGCACTGGCCGATAGAGCCAGTGGTGGAATTTCCACATTCCTATGGCGGGGGCGAGTCTCTTCCATAGGATAATCACTGTTAATTTCACCACAACGATTGCGACCCGTTTTAGTGACCTGACGAGGGATGATTAGCCGAGTCGACCCACGAGGATTTTATTGCCCGTCACAAAACTACAAATACTGTACTTCCAAAATGATTCCCCATGCGTATTGTGTTGAATCTGAAATTCTGACTGAGAGGTTACCGAATTTGTGTAAATACTCTACCTGTCAACCCCTTATCGGTGCACTTACCTTATTACTTGACGATTCAGACCTTATTGGTCACCCCGTGCCCTTATAAATCTCAACGTTCATCCTACAAAGTACCATCACATGGGAGAAACGCAAACAAATAGACGAAAAATATATATTTTTCCCCCGTATTGATTGTCTGTATGCCGTATGGACCTAACAACTGTACAAGAATACGGGTAAATCGTATGGGGTTGACAGGTATGAACTGCCCATCTTGGGAAATTCCACCCACACAATAGGAATGTAGGCTATTGGACGCTTGGTCACACCCGGTGACACTTAACTTCAGTTCAAACTCCCGCCTGTGTTTGTGTTATTACTACCAGTTGATATCCATCCTGAGACTGTCTAAATGTTTTCATTTTTAAGAGGCTCTGTTTAAAATGGGCTGCACTGCGACACACACTGCACGTGACGCTTGTGCTCACGTTTGTGATGTACAGCGGTGTAAAATATTTTAAAAAATACTATTTTCTTCTCACTGTTAAAGTGTTTCATGAAACTGGTTATTTCCCCGTTAAATTGTCTCCCGGTTGCGGAATGCGTAACCGCATGGGATTGGCTGGGTGTGCGCGCGTTCCTGTCATGTGATGATGATGATGATGGTGGAATGTGGTTATGGTGATGTTGATGATGCCACTATTTGATATAAAGCCTGTGTAATGACTCCCGTCTCTCTGCTTGGATCTGGTACTGGTAGGAACCTCCTGGTTACACCAGCCCACAGGGGATTATTGTGTCCGTCGTGCAGGGAGGGGCTGGGTGGGGAGGGTGGGGCTGGGTGGGAGGGGAGGGGCTGGGTGGGGAGGGGCTGGTCACCCCGTGGTGCCCTTATAAAACTCAACGTTTAACCTACTCACGCCGGCTTGTGCCCGCCCTCACAGTCGGGCATATCTGCGGAAAACACCACGCCGCCCTTGACCCTGGCCATTGACCGAGCAACCCAACGTTCCTACCAGCTCCCTCCGCAGGAATGTGTTTGAGTATGCTTGCGGGGTTTTTTTGTTTGTTTAAATAGTCGAAGTCCACGGGTCTTGACAGTGTCTCCCTTCCCACTCCACTTTGTTGACAATTAGGACACCGGAACATTTTGAACAAAAAATTGGACAAGAGGCAATTCCCCAAACCGCGTGGATCAGGGACCCCCAATGAGTGGCGCTGCGTCCCAGAAACAAGATCTGGGCGGCGGTCCCACCCCCATACCTGGTCAAGGTGGTCCAGAGCCAATGGTGGAAATTCCACATTATTATGGTGCTGACTTTCCACAGAGCAAGGGCGTTTTAAGTGAGACGTGTCTGCTTTGTAAAAACTTGACCCTCAACTCGAAATGTGCATGAGCAAATGTAATTCTTGAGTAATTTGAAATGTATTTAATGTTTGGCAAATCGTCATTTATATTACTGCATGGTAAGTTAGGATTGTGGCTTTGTATATAAAGCGATTGAAATATAAAATAAACATCGTAATTTATATTAAAAGTGTCTGCTGTGGTGCACACCTGTTGTGATAAAGTGATTGGGAAGCAAGGGTTATGGCAGTAAAGAAAGTGGATTCCTGAATCCATCTGTACAGACCTTTTTGCAGCGTCAACCCCTCTTGTGCACTGCGGGGTTTCTCCTGAGTTCACTTTCCTCCCACAAGAAGCCAAACACTCGTTACAAAAATAATAATTCGTAAAGATAAAAATGTGGTTCTTAATATGCGTATTTAATATGAATATTCGTACTGCGGTTATTCATCATGTGTCTGTTCCGTTTTTTGGAAGTTACATACCTGTATTTTTCTTATCAGTGCCCTACCTTATTACAGACCAATTCAGACCTCATTGATCACCCTGTGCCCTGATAAATCTCAACGTTCATCCTACAAAGTCCCACCACAACGGAGAAACACAAACAGATAGACCAAAACATTTTCGATTTAAAGCTTTCGTGACTGCAGGGATTCATCTTCTTGGTTCTTTCGGTAAAGTCACGTAGAAGGGAAGTAATAAAATAATAAAAATAAAACATAATAAAACAATTCTCACGACGTTTCGGCCACAACGCAAGCAGCCGTCCTCAGGTGAAAACCAGGTCCGTCGAGGCGACAGAGTCTGAATGAAACAGCACACGAGCTTGGAGCATATATATAAGCTGGGCGCATTGACAAAGGAATTTGCATTTCAAAAGGAATTTAGCATATTTATGGGAAATGCAGGAATGTGATTAGTACTGCATATGCATGTGCATTATGCAGGATTAACAGCATCAAAGGGAGCTGCAGTTACTGCTGCTGCAGCACTTGCTGCTGCTGCAGCAGTTTCTGCTGCTGCTGCACTTGCTGCTGCTGCTGCACTTGCTGCTGCTGCTGCACTTGCTGCTGCTGCTGCACTTGCTGCCTTATCCATTTTAATATAACACTATGTATTATTCTACCCACCCTAATGTGTATCATACTGCTATATGTTTACTGTACAATTACGACACCATACATTACTCTGCACACTGCACCATGCCAGTGAGTGGAACGCGGTCTGAAAGTCACCGTAAACGTGAACGCAATCAGTTAAGATCCGAAATGGTTTATTACGTCCTTCCAATGATTGCTAAGCCAGAATCCATCTTCTCGGTTGAAATTGTCTCTGTGTTTGTATATGTGGATCGCCTCATGAACGAATCTCTCATGATAGCCAGATGGCTTGCAGAGAACCTCTGTCTTGGAGAAGTCAATGTCATGTGAGCCCACTGAATTGTAACAGTGATCTGCCACGGCTGAGGTGTTTGTCCTACCGTGTTTCAGGTCTGCCTTATGTTCACGGATGCGGTCCGAGACATGTCGTTTGGTTTCTCCAATGTAACTGCTACCACAGAGGCAACTTAGTTTGTAGACGCCAGGGTACTGTATGTCTGGAACCACATCTTTTACAGACGGGACCAGATCACGGATTTTATGTACTGTGTTGAATCGGACCTGGATCTTGTGTTTAATCAGGATTTTGGAGATCTTTTTTGTGACCCCAGCAATGTAGGGTAAGGTGATGGTCTTGAAAGGCTCCTCAACAGGATCCTTCTTGATGGTTGGAGTGATGGCTTTGCGGATTGTGTAGTCGGAGTAACCATTAGCCTTAAGAGCTTGGCGTACGTGTTTGAGTTCACTGGAAATGTGTTCATGGTCGGAGATGCATTGGGCTCTATGATATAGAGTCTTGATGAGGGAATTCTTCTGGGATGGATGGTGGTGGGAATCCGGTTTTAGATAAGCATCCGTGTGGGTGGCTTTCCTGTAGACAGAGTGGCTCATTGAACCATCAGGTCTCCTTTTGATTAGGACATCCAAAAAGGGTAGCTTGCCATCATTTTCGACTTCCATGGTGAATCTGATGGCTGGGTGTATGGAATTGATGTGGTCGAGAAATTGGTCTAGAGCAGGCCGGCCATGTGGCCAGATGACAAAAGTGTCGTCTACGTACCTCTTCCATAAGGTCGGGCGTAGAGTGGCAGTCTGGATGGCGTCCGTCTCAAATTTCCCATTGAAGATGTTGGCTACAACCGGAGATAGGGGGGAGCCCATTGGGGTGCCCTCAATTTGCTTGTAGAAGGTTCCATTCCAGGTGAAGTATGTATTGGTTAAGCAGTGTCTCACCAGGGGGGGTACCCCAGCATTCAGTCCTTGATGAACCAAGTCTTCAATGATTGCGATGGTGTCAGGCACAGGCACCTTGGTGAACAAGGAAACTACATCAAAACTGACAAGCAGGTCGTCTGGGGACAGGGCAATCCCCTTGATTGTCGATACCAGGTCAGTAGAGTTTAGTACTGCAGAGGTGGTTTTTCCAGTGAAAGGCCGTAGGATTTCGGACAAAAAACGAGCCAGTTTGTAAGTGGGGGAGTTGATAGTAGAGACAATGGGACGAAGAGGTGTATCTTCTTTATGTATCTTTGGCAAGCCGTACAATCTTGGTGGCCTGGCTGCAGAAGGTTTCAACGAGAACTGTTTGGTCTGATCAATTAATGCGGTTGAAGCAGAAATGATGTTGTTGGTTTTGGAGACGAGGCTGTTGGTGGGGTCTCTTTTTATTTTTGTATAGCTGCCATCGTTGAGTAGTTCTTGAATTTTGTTGTTGTATTCTATTTTGTCCATGATGACAGTGGCATTGCCTTTGTCGGCTGAGAGGATGACAATGTCATCCCTCTTTTTTAATTGAGCTAATTCAAAACGCTCATCTTTGCTGATGTTGCTAGCTGGCATCTTAGCGTTTTTGAGGGTTACAGAGATTTCAGATCTTGCTACGTCTGCAGCGATGTGACTCAAGCCCTTGAGAGCTACATCTACTCGAGCAATTATATCATTAACTGGTATGTGTCTAGGTGTGACTGCAAAGTTTAGTCCTTTAGCTAAAACGGATTTCAAACCTTCAGAAATAGGACTGTTACATAAAATCCGTGATCTGGTCCCGTCTGTAAAAGATGTGGTTCCAGACATACAGTACCCTGGCGTCTACAAACTAAGTTGCCTCTGTGGTAGCAGTTACATTGGAGAAACCAAACGACATGTCTCGGACCGCATCCGTGAACATAAGGCAGACCTGAAACACGGTAGGACAAACACCTCAGCCGTGGCAGATCACTGTTACAATTCAGTGGGCTCACATGACATTGACTTCTCCAAGACAGAGGTTCTCTGCAAGCCATCTGGCTATCATGAGAGATTCGTTCATGAGGCGATCCACATATACAAACACAGAGACAATTTCAACCGAGAAGATGGATTCTGGCTTAGCAATCATTGGAAGGACGTAATAAACCATTTCGGATCTTAACTGATTGCGTTCACGTTTACGGTGACTTTCAGACCGCGTTCCACTCACTGGCATGGTGCAGTGTGCAGAGTAATGTATGGTGTCGTAATTGTACAGTAAACATATAGCAGTATGATACACATTAGGGTGGGTAGAATAATACATAGTGTTATATTAAAATGGATAAGGCAGCAAGTGCAGCAGCAGCAGCAAGTGCAGCAGCAGCAGCAAGTGCAGCAGCAGCAGAAACTGCTGCAGCAGCAGCAAGTGCTGCAGCAGCAGTAACTGCAGCTCCCTTTGATGCTGTTAATCCTGCATAATGCACATGCATATGCAGTACTAATCACATTCCTGCATTTCCCATAAATATGCTAAATTCCTTTTGAAATGCAAATTCCTTTGTCAATGCGCCCAGCTTATATATATGCTCCAAGCTCGTGTGCTGTTTCATTCAGACTCTGTCGCCTCGACGGACCTGGTTTTCACCTGAGGACGGCTGCTTGCGTTGTGGCCGAAACGTCGTGAGAATTGTTTTATTATGTTTTATTTTTATTATTTTATTACTTCCCTTCTACGTGACTTTACCGAAAGAACCAAGAAGATGAATCCCTGCAGTCACGAAAGCTTTAAATCGAAATTTAACCGCCTCTACGGGGAGGGTTTCCACATAACTTTGAGATCCTTCAACAAGCTCCGGGATAAGAAGGCTCAGCTAATCGAGTCTCTCACCTTTCTGAAGAGATGCCGCGACTCTAAGGTAATACCAAACGCATTTACACTAACATCTGCTGCTGTAACTTCTTCTAATGCGAAACGAATTCTGTCTAGAACTAGTTTAGCTCTTATCTCAGAGAAAATCAGACTTACGCGCACCGAACTAGATCAGTTAGACAAGACACTCTACAAATCACACTTATCTTTGAGTGTAACAATGTCCACATCGGATTGGGAACATGTGGATAAAATGACTGCCTCTTCAGCTGCCGCTATGTCGACTAAATGTAAGGACAACTTGATTTCCAAATTCAACCGCCTCTCAAACAAGAAACCGGACCCACACATTGAAAAGCTAGATGTTAACAAAGTCGTAATTAATCGCAGTAACAGTCCTATTTCTGAAGGTTTGAAATCCGTTTTAGCTAAAGGACTAAACTTTGCAGTCACACCTAGACACATACCAGTTAATGATATAATTGCTCGAGTAGATGTAGCTCTCAAGGGCTTGAGTCACATCGCTGCAGACGTAGCAAGATCTGAAATCTCTGTAACCCTCAAAAACGCTAAGATGCCAGCTAGCAACATCAGCAAAGATGAGCGTTTTGAATTAGCTCAATTAAAAAAGAGGGATGACATTGTCATCCTCTCAGCCGACAAAGGCAATGCCACTGTCATCATGGACAAAATAGAATACAACAACAAAATTCAAGAACTACTCAACGATGGCAGCTATACAAAAATAAAAAGAGACCCCACCAACAGCCTCGTCTCCAAAACCAACAACATCATTTCTGCTTCAACCGCATTAATTGATCAGACCAAACAGTTCTCGTTGAAACCTTCTGCAGCCAGGCCACCAAGATTGTACGGCTTGCCAAAGATACATAAAGAAGATACACCTCTTCGTCCCATTGTCTCTACTATCAACTCCCCCACTTACAAACTGGCTCGTTTTTTGTCCGAAATCCTACGGCCTTTCACTGGAAAAACCACCTCTGCAGTACTAAACTCTACTGACCTGGTATCGACAATCAAGGGGATTGCCCTGTCCCCAGACGACCTGCTTGTCAGTTTTGATGTAGTTTCCTTGTTCACCAAGGTGCCTGTGCCTGACACCATCGCAATCATTGAAGACTTGGTTCATCAAGGACTGAATGCTGGGGTACCCCCCCTGGTGAGACACTGCTTAACCAATACATACTTCACCTGGAATGGAACCTTCTACAAGCAAATTGAGGGCACCCCAATGGGCTCCCCCCTATCTCCGGTTGTAGCCAACCTCTTCAATGGGAAATTTGAGACGGACGCCATCCAGACTGCCACTCTACGCCCGACCTTATGGAAGAGGTACGTAGACGACACTTTTGTCATCTGGCCACATGGCCGGCCTGCTCTAGACCAATTTCTCGACCACATCAATTCCATACACCCAGCCATCAGATTCACCATGGAAGTCGAAAATGATGGCAAGCTACCCTTTTTGGATGTCCTAATCAAAAGGAGACCTGATGGTTCAATGAGCCACTCTGTCTACAGGAAAGCCACCCACACGGATGCTTATCTAAAACCGGATTCCCACCACCATCCATCCCAGAAGAATTCCCTCATCAAGACTCTATATCATAGAGCCCAATGCATCTCCGACCATGAACACATTTCCAGTGAACTCAAACACGTACGCCAAGCTCTTAAGGCTAATGGTTACTCCGACTACACAATCCGCAAAGCCATCACTCCAACCATCAAGAAGGATCCTGTTGAGGAGCCTTTCAAGACCATCACCTTACCCTACATTGCTGGGGTCACAAAAAAGATCTCCAAAATCCTGATTAAACACAAGATCCAGGTCCGATTCAACACAGTACATAAAATCCGTGATCTGGTCCCGTCTGTAAAAGATGTGGTTCCAGACATACAGTACCCTGGCGTCTACAAACTAAGTTGCCTCTGTGGTAGCAGTTACATTGGAGAAACCAAACGACATGTCTCGGATCGCATCCGTGAACATAAGGCAGACCTGAAACACGGTAGGACAAACACCTCAGCCGTGGCAGATCACTGTTACAATTCAGTGGGCTCACATGACATTGACTTCTCCAAGACAGAGGTTCTCTGCAAGCCATCTGGCTATCATGAGAGATTCGTTCATGAGGCGATCCACATATACAAACACAGAGACAATTTCAACCGAGAAGATGGATTCTGGCTTAGCAATCATTGGAAGGACGTAATAAACCATTTCGGATCTTAACTGATTGCGTTCACGTTTACGGTGACTTTCAGACCGCGTTCCACTCACTGGCATGGTGCAGTGTGCAGAGTAATGTATGGTGTCGTAATTGTACAGTAAACATATAGCAGTATGATACACATTAGGGTGGGTAGAATAATACATAGTGTTATATTAAAATGGATAAGGCAGCAACTGCAGCAGCAGCAGCAAGTGCAGCAGCAGCAGCAAGTGCAGCAGCAGCAGAAACTGCAGCAGCAGCAGCAACTGCTGCAGCAGCAGTAACTGCAGCTCCCTTTGATGCTGTTAATCCTGCATAATGCACATGCATATGCAGTACTAATCACATTCCTGCATTTCCCGTAAATATGCTAAATTCCTTTTGAAATGCAAATTCCTTTGTCAATGCGCCCAGCTTATATATATGCTCCAAGCTCGTGTGCTGTTTCATTCAGACTCTGTCGCCTCGACGGACCTGGTTTTCACCTGAGGACGGCTGCTTGCGTTGTGGCCGAAACGTCGTGAGAATTGTTTTATTATGTTTTATTTTTATTATTTTATTACTTCCCTTCTACGTGACTTTACCGAAAGAACCAAGAAGACCAAAACATGTTGGTCGGATGGAAACGGCTGTACGCCGTATGAACCTAAACTCAACTTCCCTGTACAATAATACGGGTAACTCGTATGGGTGGACAGGTATGAAGTTATAAGAAACACTTATTTAATCACATATTCTATTGGAACCTCCTTTGCCAGTAGAAAAATATAATTGTTTTTTTTACCCTTTTATCTGGCAACAAAACTGACACCTTTTTTATGTACATGCTTACCCCGAGCTCTCATACTCTGATGGTGAATTGTCTTTGAGTTGTGCGCCTTTTGGCGTCATCTGGTCCAACACCATGTGAGACTAGGCTCTAAGGAAAGCTGTCTCGGGTGTGGACCAATCAACTTCAAGAACAGTGCATACATTATCAGAGTTATGTATTTTGTTTGCATTATGACTGCAGGTATTGTGGTCAATGCAAGCATGACTCCTTGTAAAAAAGGAGTCAATTTTGTTGCCAGATAAAAGGGTAAAAAAACAATTATCAATCACACATTTTCAGTAATATTCAAATTTTTGTTTTATTTTCGCCTTGGTTTGTGACAACTTTGAGTTGCGACTGCGTGTCTCGAGACAAATAACAATAGCAGCAGGTCTGAGATGGTTGTACATTGGTTATTACTACAAACCAATAAACCCATACGGCTTAGCAGTATTCTTGTACAGGGAAATTGAGTTTTCTGTTACATACAGCGTACATCCGTTTCAATACGGTAACATTTAGTTTGTGTCTATTTGATTCTCCCTTGTGATGAGACTTTTTAGGATGAATGTTGATATTTATAAGGGCACTGGGTGACAAATAAGGTCTGAATTCGTCTGTAACAATTAGGACACTGATCAGGAGTTGACAGGCACCCCTCTGTTGCTTCAATCCACCTACTATTTGGATTTAAAAAGTGCTGTAACGTCGCTTTTGAGTAACTTTGTTATTTAAAACCCGGTCACATCGGGACAATGTTTTTATTTGAGTCTCATCGGGGACAGACGGTGTAATAAAATGTCCAAGCTGCATCTCGTATTAACCATTGTTTCTCTCGCCTCGCTATGTAGGTGATGTGAAGGGCCATCGCTCGAAACGTTGGCTATTAAATAGTGGGTTTTCTTCTCCCGTTTTCTAACGCCACATCGCATTACGTACGAGCGTGTTGAGTTTTATTGATTATTTTAGTTTCTTTAAAGTCTCAGGGAGTGCGCCCCCCTTGACAACTCACCACCAACAATTCACCTCAAACCCTTCTAACAACTCCCCGTTCACCACCAGTTAAAACAGTAACTTTAACGAACACTCAAGGAGTTATTACAAAGTAATTTACCAATCACAACGTCTCACTATGAGTAAAGAAATCACACGCGTTATTATTTAAAATTAAACTTTACTTTATTGACACCGTGACCGAACGCCCGGTGGCCTAGGCGCTCCCCCGCGGGGGGTTTCTCGCTCATTTTTGGGGCCAAACTTCTAGGCAAGACCGTAGGCTTCGCTCGAGGGCCTACGCGCTCTCCTCTCCGGGTTCAATGGACACGGACGCGGACGGACGGGCGCCTCTGCGGGAGGGCAAGGAAGCCTCCCTGCTACCGTGGGACCGCTTCGCAGCCTGGGCCAGGGCGATTTGTGTGGTCACGTTCGACCTGGAGCTCGGCCAGGCGATGGAGGTAGGGCCTGCGGGAGAAGGGGCGCCCTGCCCGGCCGGGTCGTCTAGGCAAGACCGAGGCGTCGGCCTACAGAGCCAGGGGTCTTGCTCCCATTTGGGATAAGTTCTATAAACGTCGTATTGTTATAAAATGTTTAATGTGTTGTAATGTACCCGCTTACGGTGGTCAGTGGTTCTTAATCGTGAAGAGGTGTAGTGTGGTAGTGTTGAAGTGTGGTAGTGTTGATGTTGTTGATGGTGAGGTGTAGTGTGGTAGCGTTGATGGTGTTGATGGTGAGGTGTAGTGTGGTAGTGTTGATGTTGTTGATGGTGAGGTATAGTGTGGTGGTGTTGATGGTGTTGATGGTGAGGTGTAGTGTGGTAGTGTTGATGTTGTTGATGGTGAGGTGTAGTGTGGTAGTGTTGATGTTGTTGATGGTGAGGTGTAGTGTGGTGGTGTTGATGGTGTTGATGGTGAGGTGTAGTGTGGTAGTGTTGATGTTGTTGATGGTGAGGTGTAGTGTGGTGGTGTTGATGTTGTTGATGGTGAGGTGTAGTGTGGTGGTGTTGATGGTGTTGATGGTGAGGTGTAGTGTGGTAGTGTTGATGTTGTTGATGGTGAGGTGTAGTGTGGTAGCGTTGATGGTGTTGATGGTGAGGTGTAGTGTGGTAGTGTTGATGTTGTTGATGGTGAGGTGTAGTGTGGTGGTGTTGATGTTGTTGATGGTGAGGTGCAGTGTGGTGGTGTTGATGGTGTTGATGGTGAGGTGTAGTGTGGTGGTGTTGATGGTGTTGATGGTGAGGTGTAGTGTGGTGGTGTTGATGTTGTTGATGGTGAGGTGCAGTGTGGTGGTGTTGATGTTGTTGATGGTGATGTGTAGTGTGGTGGTGTTGATGTTGTTGATGGTGAGGTGCAGTGTGGTAGTGTTGATGTTGTTGATGGTGAGGTGTAGTGTGGTAGTGTTGATGTTGTTGATGGTGAGGTGTAGTGTGGTAGTGTTGATGTTGTTGATGGTGAGGTGTAGTGTGGTAGTGTTGATGTTGTTGATGGTGAGGTGTAGTGTGGTAGTGTTGATGTTGTTGATGGTGAGGTGTAGTGTGGTAGTGTTGATGTTGTTGATGGTGATGTGTAGTGTGGTAGTGTTGATGTTGTTGATGGTGAGGTGCAGTGTGGTAGTGTTGATGTTGTTGATGGTGATGTGTAGTGTGGTGGTGTTGATGTTGTTGATGAGGTGTAGTGTGGTAGTGTTGATGTTGTTGATGGTGAGGTGTAGTGTGGTAGTGTTGATGTTGTTGATGAGGTGTAGTGTGGTAGTGTTGATGTTGTTGATGGTGAGGTGTAGTGTGGTAGTGTCGATGTTGATGGTGAGGTGTTGTGTGGTAGTGTTGATGTTGTTGATGAGGTGTAGTGTGGTAGTGTTGATGTTGTTGATGGTGAGGTGTAGTGTGGTAGTGTTGATGTTGATGGTGATGTGTAGTGTGGTAGTGTTGATGTTGTTGATGGTGAGTGTAGTGTGGTAGTGTTGATGTTGTTGATGTGAGGGTGATGTGGTAGTGTTGATGTTGTTGATGGATGGTGTAGTGTGGTAGTGTTGATGTTGTTGATGGTGAGGTGTAGTGTGGTAGTGTCGATGTTGATGGTGATGTGTAGTGTGGTAGTGTTGATGTTGTTGATGGTGAGGTGTAGTGTGGTAGTGTTGATGGTGTTAATGGTGAGGTGTAGTTGGTAGTGTTGATGTTGTTGATGGTGATGTGTAGTGTGGTAGTGTTGATGTTGTTGATGGTGAGTGTAGTGTGGTAGTGTTGATGTTGTTGATAGGTGAGGTGTAGTGTGGTAGTGTTGATGGTTGTTGATAGGTGATGGTAGTGTGGTAGTGTTGATGGTGTTGATGGTGATGTGTAGTGTGGTAGTGTTGATGTTGTTGATGGTGAGGTGTAGTGTGGTAGTGTTGATGTTGTTGATGGTGAGGTGTAGTGTGGTAGTGTTGTGGATGGTGAGGTGTAGTGTGGTAGTGTTGATGTTGTTGATGGTGAGGTGTAGTGTGGTAGTGTTGTGGATGGTGAGGTGTAGTGTGGTGTTGTTGATGTTGTTGATGGTGAGGTGTAGTGTGGTAGTGTTTAAGTGTGTTGATGGTGAGGTGTAGTGTGGTAGTGTTGATGTTGTTGATGGTGTGGTGTTGTGTGGTAGTGTTGATGTGTGTTGAATGAGGTGTAGTTATTGGTGGTAACGAGGTTTAGTTCTGGGTTGTGAAGAGGTGTGGTGTTGGTGGTGAGGTGTAGTTTTTGGTGGTCCAGTCCATAGTCCATCCTCAACAGCTGTCCTAGGTGTACAAACTCTTGACGTGTTCCAGTTATGCCCCTATCATTTTTATCTTCAAATGTTTATCCAACCTGTTGTACAGTATTTTGTTATATTTCTCATTTATCTCGAGCATCACTTTGCAGCCTTCTTTGTTAATAAGTGATCTGTCTGAGGAAGTGGATGCTCTTGCTTGTACACGAGTCTGTGTCTCCTATGGTTATGTGTGTCCATTTGTCCCTGCATGTCCATGTGTCTGTGCATGTTCATGTCATTATTTATGTCTATGTGGGGAGCGCTAGTCCAAAGGTTAGTGCACTGAGCTACGAACACAGCCACCTGAGTTCCATTCCTGCCCACGGCCAACATCAGTGGCGAATATCCGAACCGTGCCTGAGCCTCTTCTCGAGATCGACTCAGCTTCAATGAGTAGCAGATGCGGTGTGTAAACATCAACAGTGGGGAGACGAAGGCGGCCGGGCATAGTTTCTGGCCCCCCCCCCCCCTTAGTCGTGTGCCAACTTGCCCTTAATAGGTGCTGACCAGCAGCACCTGCCTCAACAGGCTGTTGTTAGTTAAAGGCTATAGGGGGGATCTTTGTGTGTGTCTAACTTTGTCTCTGTGTGTCTTCGTGCCTCTGTGTGTGGACAGCTCACGTACCCGCCCCACATTCAGCTGACCGACAAGGAGGTAGGTGGTCCCTCACTCAACCCGTGGCTCCCACCCCGAGTCACCCCAAGTTTCCTCCTCGAAGCCCCGAGGTTCTGGGTGCTTCCTCTGAGCCCGTGATAATCGGTTTCGCGTCACATCGAGAACCTATCCGGTGGCTCGCACTCTCCGCCGGCAATCGCACCCTCTCATCTCCTCACCGCACTCCACAAACCGCTCCGACCACGACCTACCCCTTTAATTTTCCGCGTATTTACGTTTGACCATTTGACCCATTCGCAGTTTGTGATGCTTTTGTTTTTTGTTGTTGTGTGTGTGTTTGTGTTTTTTTGTTCCTCTAGAAAACCAACATTTGTTACTTATCATTTCCAGACTCTAATTCAGGTAGAGTTGCGATGGTGGGTGTGTTTTTTTATTTTCCCATCGTTTTTTCTTTTTTTCTCGTCCGTCGCTGATTAAGTTGTGACACGTTTCCCATACCTGTCAACCCATACGGTTTACCCGTATCGTTGTACAGGGAAATTGAGTTTTCAGGTCCACATGGCGTTCAGCCATTTCAATACGGGCAAAACACATTTTTTTTTTCCATTTAACTGTGTTTCTCACTTGTGATGGGACTTTGGAGGATGAACGTTGAGATTTATAAGGGCACGGAGTGACCAATAAGGTCTGAATTGGTCTGTAATAAGGTAGGCACTGATAAGGGGTTGACAGGTTTGGCTTCCCTTGAAGCTCCACATCGCGTGCATCCGCCCCCAATTGTTTTACGGGACTCAAGTAATCGACCGCAATTAAAAAAAATAATTACACAAACTCCGTGACATGTTGCCGTGGAGCATCGTGAGTAATGGCGTACAGGTTTCCCTCGGTCAATGCTGTCGTGGTAGATGCGTTCCATCTACAACTACCGCATAGTATATACACAAATGAACACATAGTTATAGTCCATTGGCCTATCGGCTTTCCAGACCAATATTATTCAGCAAGCAAACTCGGAACCAGTTTCGACTTTTTAGGTCTAATCAAGCAGAGTCAAGCTTGTTCATACAAATGCAGCTAGTGCGCCAGATGTTATATATATACAGATTCAGAACAAACAGATGAATCCATTACAACCTTTAATCGATGAGTCGGCTAATAGTTCCAGCTATGGTCACCTCTCGTGTAGATACGAATTGAGTCGTGGCTATAAACGTAAGTGTCGTGAATCCAGCTGCTGCCTTCTGAGCACAGCGAGCGAGTGGCCCTCAGGCTTCCGGAGAACGCGGTTCCCGTCCTGACCCCCGTGCGTCCTCCTGCTCCTCCAGGTTGCCACGGCGACACGCAGTTCTGCTTTCGAATCCGGCAGAGCCCGAGCCGGAAATCCCCTGCTACCGCCCGGGGCGGCTGGGTGGATGGCGACGCGCCTGGCATGCTGAGGGTACGGGGCCGGGGGGCTGGCGCCTGGGGTGTGGGAGGCGTGGGGTCAGCGGGTGGGGGCTAGGGGGTGGGAGGAAGGGTCAGGGTTGGGGAGTGAGTTGTGAAGGTGAATTCGACAGCAGCCATGACATGTGACGTCTGCAGCGAGGCCAAGTTATATGGAATGGCAAGGTCCGTAGAGACGCTGCAGCTCTTGTGTCAATCTACTTCCGGATGGTGATCTCCCCATTCCTGTACGGGTTCATAGCAGTTACTTGGCTATACTTCACCATACTTGTCAATGCTGGTTTCCATGGAAATTAAATAGCCATCTCTCCTGTACTGCTTAGCATTGTACCCATGGTGGCGCCACGGGTAGGGGAGGAGAGTCAAGGGGGCGATGCATGGGCAAAGGAAAAGGAACGGGACAGGGAAGAGAGAAGAAAATAGGAAATGAGAGGACGAGGATGGGGAAAGAAACGGAGAAACAGGAGCACAGGGTCGGGAGAGACCAGGAGAGGGAGAGGCTACATGACGCTGCTGCACAGAGGAGGAGCAGCGTCTGTTTGGAGTGACGGGGAGAGCAGAGTGGTTCAGAGTGGGGGTAGCCACTCTGTCTGTCTCCGGCACGCACGGTTAAACGTGCGCTCTGCATCTCCCCATTCTGCCCCTGCTCTGTGCTCCCTGTGCAAACAGAGGGACCCCACTCACTACTATGGCTACGTGTACTTCAGGCAGTCCAAGGACAAGTCACTACGCAGAGGGTACTTCCAGAAGGTGCCCACTGACTCGCCCACTCACCCACTCACTCACTCGCCACACCTCTCACTCACACACTCAATCAATTACTCACCTACTGACCCACTCCCTCACTCCTGTTACTCACTTGCTCACTCGCTAATTCGTACGATCGCTTACCGGCTCTGACTCGCTCACTCACCTGGTAACTCACTCATTCACTTACACACATGCCGGCTCACTCCCTCGCTCATTCTATCACTCACTCACTCGGACCTAATGACTTGCTTTACGTGGCTAGATGGCTAAATAGAATTTGGGGCTGGTGTCATATCACAGCACTGCAGGTTGTTATTTGTGAAAAATCATTATCTAAAGCGGATTTTGTCAATTTACAACTAAGGTTAAAATGGATGAGCTCCATCCGTCTGAAACAGGGAGTCACGGCCACTCTTGTAGAAGTGACTCGGGTAGCGATCAACCTGGATTCACACCCAGGATCTCAGCAGTGCCAGCTCGGTGCCACCTCGATTAATGTTGTTAATGACGGTTCGATTCTTGCCGTCTCTTCTGCTGCTGCTGTTGCTGCTGCTGCTTATTGGCACCGTCTCTGCCGCCAGTCGCTGGTGCTGCTGAGCCCGCTGCCGTATGCAGGTTTGTTCGACGCGATTCTACGCACTGTCGCTCCGGGCTTCTTCGAGAAGGCGGAGCCCTTCCTGGAGGCTGGTGAGTTTGACCGCACAAACGGTAAGGAGTGAGTTTACCATGCTGACAGAGGTAGGACAATCGCTGCTTAAACCCCGTGGTGACACCCACACATGGGTGCGTTCCTGTGTGCGTGTAGCGGCGGTGGAGTTGTTGGTGCACTGGAATATAAACCCAGCTACCCAAGTTCAACTGCCGCTCAAAGCCAATAATAGTGGCGTATGTTTGAACTGGTCGTGGGCCCTCCCCTAGGTCGAGTTGGCCTTAAAAATGAAGAGCTTGTGCAGTGTGTAAACATTATCACTGGCCACCCATCCCCTCTTGTACCATACTGATCTTCGTACATGCTCACGAACAGCTACACGGGGGACCGGTGTACGCGTGTGTGCTTCTTTGCGTGTGTGCTTCTTTGCGTGTGTGCGTGCCGCAGTGTGCAACGACATGGACCAGTGGCCTCTGCCGGTGGCCGGGCAGACGCTGAGCCTGCCCATCATGGGCACCGTCATACAGGTGCCAGGGGCGCAGTGCCACGAGCGATCCGCAAACCCTCGACCCCTCCTGTCATGCCACACATCTCAGAAAAGATCACCGCCTCCATGTTCACACACCGTCTCCGTGTTGACACGCTGCCGTCCATTATTCACACACTCCCTCTGTGTTGACACACGGCTCTCCGTGTTCACACATGGCCCTGGCCCAGTCAGAGCGGTGATGACCACCACCACGATCACGATGATGATGATGATGATAATGACCACCACGATGTTTTCAGGTTCGCATCCCGTCGCGGCAAGACAAGCCCGGCGCGGCCTTCTTGCACGCCACGCAGGAGGTGAGTGGAGACTCCAGTGCGACAGCGGCCCACAGGGAATGTTGCTCCCATCTGTGTGACGCTTTTGCTGGTTGCTGGTCACGGCCAAAACGACGATTCTTACCGAGTGCGTTTCGGTGCTGACCATGAGTGGTGTGGTGTTGAGTGCGTGTGGTGTGGTGCTGACCGTGAGTGGTGTGGTGTTGAGTGCGTGTGGTGTGGTGCTGACCGTGAATGGTGTGGTGTTGAGTGCGTGTGGTGTGGTGCTGACCGTGAGTGGTGTGGTGTTGACCATGAGTGGTGTGGTGTTGACCAAGAGTGGTGTGGTGTTGACCGTGTGTGGTGTGGTGTTGACCGTGAATGGTGTGGTGTTGAGTGCGTGTGGTGTGGTGCTGACCGTGAGTGGTGTGGTGCTGACCATGAGTGGTGTGGTGTTGAGTGCGTGTGGTGTGGTGCTGACCGTGAATGGTGTGGTGTTGAGTGCGTGTGGTGTGGTGTTGACCATGAGTGGTGTGGTGTTGACCAAGAGTGGTGTGGTGTTGACCGTGTGTGGTGTGGTGTTGACCAAGAGTGGTGTGGTGTTGACCGTGTGTGGTGTGGTGTTGACCGTGAGTGGAGTGGTGTTGACCGTGTGTGGTGTGGTGTTGACCGTGAGTGGAGTGGTGTTGACCGTGTGTGGTGTGGTGTTGACCGTGAGTGGTGTGGTGTTGACTGTGAGTGGTGTGGTGTTGACCAAGAGTGGTGTGGTGTTGACCGTGTGTGGTGTGGTGTTGACCGTGAGTGGTGTGGTGTTGACCGTGTGTGGTGTGGTGTTGACCGTGAGTGGTGTGGTGTTGACCGTGAGTGGTGTGGTGTTGACCGTGAGTGGTGTGGTGTTGACCGTGAGTGGTGTGGTGTTGACCAAGAGTGGTGTGGTGCTGACCATGAGTGGTGTGGTGTTGAGTGCGTGTGGTGTGGTGTTGACCGTGTGTGGTGTGGTGTTGACCATGAGTGGTGTGGTGTTGACCATGTGTGGTGTGGTGTTGACCATGAGTGGTGTGGTGTTGAGTGCGTGTGGTGTTGAGTGCATGTGATGTGGTGTTGACCAAGAGTGGTGTGGTGTTGACCGTGTGTGGTGTGATGCTGACCGTGAATGGTGTGGTGTTGACCGTGTGTGGTGTGGTGTTGACCATGAGTGGTGTGGTGTTGAGTGCGTGTGGTGTGGTGTTGAGCGTGTGTGGTGTGGTGTAGAGTGCGTGTGGTGTGGTGTTGAGCGTTTGTGGTGTGGTGTTGAGTGCGTGTGGTGTGGTTTTGAGTGCGTGTGGTTCTGACCGTGAGTGGTGTGGTGTTGAGTGCGTGTGGTGTGGTGTTGAGCGTGTGTGGTGTGGTGTTGAGTGCGTGTGGTGTGGTGTTGAGCGTTTGTGGTGTGGTGTTGAGTGCGTGTGGTGTGGTGTTGAGTGCGTGTGGTGTGGTTCTGACCATGAGTGGTGTGGTGTTGAGTGCGTGTGGTGTGGTGCTGACCGTGAGTGGTGTGGTGTTGAGTGCGTGTGGTGTGGTTCTCACCGTGAGTGGTGTGGTGTTGACCGTGAGTGGTGTGGTGCTGACCGTGAGTGGTGTGGTGTTGAGTGCGTGTGGTGTGGTGCTGATCGTGAGTGGTGTGGTGTTGAGCGTTTGTGGTGTGGTGCTGATCGTGAGTGGTGTAGTGTTGAGCATGAGTGGTGTGCTGTTGAGTGCGTGTGGTGTTAAGTGTGTGTGGTGTGATGTTGAGTGCGTGTGGTGTGGTGTTGACCATGAGTGGTGTGGTGTTGAGTGTGTGGTGTGGTGTTGACCGTGAATGGTGTGGTGTTGACCGTGAGTGGTGTGGTGTTGACCGTGAGTGGTGTGGTGTTGACCGTGTGTGGTGTGGTGCTGACCGTGAATGGTGTGGTGCTGACCGTGAATGGTGTGCTGTTGAGCGCGTGTGGTGCACTTAATTTTGCTTACATTCCACATTTTGAGAATTAAAAAAATCGGGTTGACTGTCATGCGACGAACATTACACTCACATGCTGTGCCCCTATGCTGTGTGTGAACCAGAACTTGAAGCGATCTCAGTTGTAGTTCTACGATATCCATGATCATACACGAAGGGTGGCGTTGCTTTGCGAGAAATCTCGATGGATTCTTGTTCACGTACTGCGACGCCGAGAGTTCAGTCAGGATAAACTTGGGCCTAATTATGTAAAACTTTCAAATGTGTCCATCTAACCCAATCACATGACTCCTGTTTGGCCACCCCCACTCTGAATTCTTTCCGTCTCTCCGCCACCCCCTGGGAGAACAGACTCAGCTCCAAGCAGCTCACTTCTGCTCGCACCGTCTCTCTCCCTGTCTTCCTGTCTTCCCTCCCGTCTCACCATCACCACCCTTTCTCCTTCCCTTCCTACCCGGTATACCTTCGTTCTTGCTGCTGCTCATCTTGAGCCATGCCCTCTTTGTCTTGACCTCCCCTTCCCGTCGTGGTGGTGGTGCCATGGGTGGAAGGTTTTATAATAAACTCTACTGAGACTGTGCCGCGTCGTTCGCAGAACCTCTACGCCGTCTCCACGGTGTTGCCCAGCGTCCACCAGCCCGACCTCTACCGGTGAGACCAGCGCAGAGCTCGACGGAGACAACGATGGTCGCCACCGCTCGCTGGAGCCGAGTGGGGCTCAACGTCATCGTCACAATCTTTATCATCATCATGGGCACAATTTTGACCTTTTATGTTGTCATTGTATCTTCATCATCTTTGTCGTAATCTTCTCCATAAAAGTTGGTTGAGCCGTTTCCTGCGGTAGTGTGGTTGCCAGCCATGCTGGTGACGTTCCCAGGGTTGTGACATTATAATTGTCAACCTTGCCACAGTTGCGACGTCACCACGGCATTGTTGTTACCATGATACTGATGTTGCCATAGCTACGCGGTCACAGTTGTGGCATGGTTGCTGTGGCAATACAGCTGCTGTGTCGCCACGGTTGTCAAGGCGGCAGCACAGTTACCAAGGCGGCAGTTACTATGGTAGCACAGTTGCCATGTCGGCACATTTGTCGTGGTGGTGGCGGCACGGTAGCCGTGACAACCGCACAGTTGCTGTGGAGGCCGCACCGCCGTTGACGAGCTGGTTTCTGTGCGCGTCCCCGCAGGAGTTTCCGCCCCGTGCTGCCGCACGTGCAGATGCTGTGGGAACTCGTGCTGTTGGGGGAGCCTCTGGTCGTCATGGCAACCTCTCCTGCCGACACGGCACAGGCAGTGCTCGCCCTCGTCAGGTGAGCGAGCATCGTCGTGACAACCGTCTCCCCCTCCCCTTCCGTCCCTGTCGCTCTCAACGGGCCCGGCTAGCCACCTCGCTAACCGGGCATGAGGTTGGCCCGCGATAATGATTGACGGTGTTTGTGTTCGCTCTTATTGCTGTGTTTGTTGTTGAGCACAGGTGTGCAGGCGTTTATTGTAATCGGACAGCAACTAAGCGCGCTCGTGATAGCGTAATAACTAAATGTTATTTTGGATAACAAGACCCAAACTCACACAGGACCCATAGACTCACACGTGTTTGCTGTCTTGTGTTTCCCTACCCAGCTGTATCGCCCCGCTCACGTACTACAGCGACTTCCGTCCATACTTCACCATCCACGACAGCGAGTTCCAGGAGTACACGACTCGCACACAGGCTCCGTGAGACACGCAAGGACATGGGGAGACACTGACACGCACACACACAGGGACACAGGGAGACACTGACACGCACACACAGGGACATGAGATACTGACACACACAGGGATATGGGGAGACACACATGGGAACGCAGGGAGACAAACAAAGACAAAGGTCCCTTGTATAGCCTTTATATACTTTTTGGGGCAAGTGCTGTACGTGACCACGTATGAAAGCCGGCACGGCCCACTAGAGAGTGGGTGGCGATGTTTATACACCGCACCAGGTACTCATTTGAGGCTGAGTCGACCTAGGGAAAACCCAGGACCGATTCAGATGACCGTCACTGACGTTGACTGTGAGCGGGAATCGAACTCGGGGGCCGGGTTCGTAGTGCTACTGCTTCCCTACACACAGACAAGACACAGAGACACAGACGGGGATACGCACGGCTGGGCTGAGACCCCGTTTGGTGCCATGTGCCCGCCCCCCTCTCCCAGGCCCCCCGTGATCCTGGGCGTGACGAACCCGTTCTTCGCTAAAACCCTGCAGCACTGGCCCCACATCATCCGCCTGGGCCATGTCAGCAGCGACGGTGAGAGGGGTGACGGGGCAGGGGGCGAGGGGGCGACCCCTTCGTGTGTTGTGCCAGCCTTGATGGGTGCTCGCTGACAGAACTTGCCCCAGCAGTCTGCTGACGGCTATTAGGGGGATCTTTGTCTTTGTGCCGTGTGCAGGCGAAGTGGGGAAGTCGGTGAAGGTGAAGAAGCAGGTGAAGCTGAAAACGCTGGACAGTGAGCCAGGTGCGACTCTCCCGGCATGACACACAGAGGCAGTCCCAGACCCGCTGCACACACACAGACCATGTGACCCGCGCGTGGGTGCGTGCGTGTGTCCATCCGCATGTGTGCGTGTTTGCAGGTGTGTACACGGCTTACAAACCCTTCCTCAGTCGGGACAAAGCTATCCTCAGGGAGCTGGAGAAGGTGAGACATCAACGCCAACACGAGCATCATCACTGCCAATCGCCACCATTACTCTCTCCACAATCCCAGTCGTAATTACCACCACAGAAGCTGTGTGTTCACGGTGTGTGTTTGTAGTGTACTGTGTGTGTGTGGCAGGGACGTGCGGTCAGGGGAGGCATGGGAGGCACAACCTCATTTGTCATACTCCAATGAAAATAGCTGTTACGAAAAGTAGAAAAGAATCAAATAAAAATTTAGATTATTTTTTTTTCCACTGATCTGTGTTATGTAATTTTTATAGTCAAAATCTCTAAATTTTGCGGAGCTCCGCTGCAAATATAGGGAGACGAGAGGTGAGGCAGCGACGAGCTCAGCCTCCCCTCTGATTGCGCAACCCCTCAGAAACTGGATGGAGCGCGGGCAATAAGAGCGTGCCTGTTACTATCTCTCTGTAATGATTGGAATTGTACAGAAATGACAGTTATAACACAGATCAGTAGAAAAAATCTTAATTTTTATTTTAGAATTGTGGTTTACTTTTCGCAATAGCTATTTTCATTGGAGTATGACAGGGTGAGGCTCTGCATCCCCTGCCTTCCCTGACCGCACGTCCCTGGTGTGTAGGTGGGTGTGGTTGTACGTAGTGCAGTCGTGCTGTATGTGTGTGTGGGGTGTTCATGACGTGTGTGTGTGGTGCATTCAGTGTATTTGGTTGTGGTGGGGTGTGTGTGGTGTGGTTGTGGTGTGGTTTTAGTGTGTGCGGTTCACAGTGGCTGTGGTGGTGGTTGGGGTGTGTGATTGTTCACGGTGGTTGTGGTGTGGTGTGTTGTGTGTGGTTGTTCATGGTGGTTGTGGTGGTTGTGGTGGTGGTTGTGGTGTGTTGTGTGTGATTGTTCACGGTGGTTGTGGTGTGTGTGGTTGTTCACGGTGGTTGTGTTGTGGTGTGGTTTGTTTGCTACAGGGAGAGCCCCAGACACGGCCGCCCTCAGCTCAGAACTCGGTTTTGCGACGGCAGCTGCTGGAACTCACACAGAGCTTCATCATCCCTCTGGTAGGCACAGAGCAGCTCGCTCACCAGCGTGGCTCGCTCATCAGTGCATACTAATCAACATGACACTTTCCCGAGCAAGACGGCTCACTTATCAATAACCGGGCGATTTTCTCTACGACGAGTGCCGAACAGCAACGTGGCATCACGTCGGAGTCGTGCTCGTTGTTCAGCGTCGTCGCTACGGCATTCATCGTTACGGCCCCTGTCGCTACGGGACTCGTCGCTATGGGAATCGTCGTTAAGGGACTCGTCGTTAAGGGACTCGTGCTACGGGACTCGTCGCTATGGGAATCATCGTTAAGGGACTCGTCGCTATGGGACTCGTCATCTGCCGCTATCCGAACCCCCATTGACTCGTCGCGGTCTTCGGAACGTGCCAGCCACCATGCCGCCATTGTTATTGCTGACTAACGACTCGCAAGGGACAATACGAGTGTTGGAATCCGTGCGTAAGCGTGATTTTTCTTCCTGGTTGTCGTCATTGTTGTAAATGTTGTCTAGGAGCGGTACGTGGCGAGCTTGATGCCCCTGCAGAAAAACATCACCCCCTTCAAGGTGCCACCATCACAAACACCATGACATACCTTCACCATCCCCAACATCATTATGAACACCATCACCAAAAAAAAAAATCTAAAATAAACCTACACAGTGTAACGAGTGTTGGCCAGACATCCCAATGCTGAAAACTTACTTGCAAATCACTCGGTTGGAATCACATAGCAGCAGCAGCAACAATATGGTCCCCCCGTACTGAGAAAACTTGGCAGGACCTTCCTGAAAAATGGGTTTTGAGACTCGGTGAATCTCTCCTGGGTAAACAAGCATCATCATCATCCTCATCATCCTCCTCGTAGTGAGATGACTAGCGCACATGATTTGCTGCACGCATCATGGGAATAGATTTTAATTGACTGGTGGTTTCATTACCACTGTGCCTCCTGTGACCTCCGTGACCTCAAACGACCTCCCCGTGATCTCCTTGTGACCCCATGACCCCATGGCCGCTCTGTGACCCAATGGCTTCTTGCCACCCCCGACACACAGAGCCCCCCTCCTCTGGGCCCATTTGAGGCGGAGGACTTCATCCGCACGCTGGAGAAGAATGGCCCACAGCTCACGTCGCCCATCAAGGGGGACTGGACGGGGTTCTATCGGTACTCACGCCACACACACACACATCCTCCGTGTGGCCTACATGGGGGCAGTGATGCTGTGATGGTGGCGATGGTGTGTGGTTGATGATGGTGGTGAAGGTGTGTGTGTGTTGATGATGTGTGGTTGATGATGGTGGTGTTGATGGTGTGGTGGTGCGGTGTGGCAGAGTGTGGTTGATGATGGTGGTGGTAACGGTGTTTGTGTGTGTGTGTGATGGTGCGGTGTGGCGGTGTGTGGTTGATGGTGGTGGTGACGGTGTTTGTGTGTGTGTGATGGTGCGGTGTGGCAGAGTGTGGTTGATGATGGTGGTAGTGACAGTGTGAAGTAGCGGTGTGTGGCTGATGGTTGGTGACAGTGCGTGTGTTGGTGACGGTGCGTGCCGTGTGGTGCTCTAGACGCTTCCTGCGCTCCCCCAACTTTGCGGGCTGGCTGCGCGAGCGCCACGGGGACATGCGGCTCAAGCTGGAGGCCGTGCACATGGACATGATGGCCAACGCGGTGCGCGCCGCCACACGCCTCCCTCACCACTCTCTCGCTCGCATCGCAAACACTCGCCACTCGCCACTCGCTACTCACCACTCGCTACTCACCACTCACACTCACCACTCACACTCGCCACTCACTACTCTCGACACTCACCACTCACACTCGCCACTCACACTTGCCACTCACACTCACTACTCACACTCGCTACTCTCGATACTCACCACTCACACTCGCCACTCACACTCACTACTCTCGACACTCACCACTCACACTCGCCACTCACACTCACTACTCTCGACACTCACCACTCACACTCACCACTCACACTTGCCACTCACACTCACTACTCTCGTCACTCGCCACTCTCACTCGCCACTCACACTCACCACTCACACTCGCTACTCTCGACACTCACCACTCACACTCGCCACTCACACTTGCCATTCACACTCACTACTCTCGTCACTCGCCACTCTCACTCGTCACTCACCACTCACACTCACTACTCTCGACACTCACCACTCACACTCACCACTCACACTCGCCACTCACACTCACACTCACTACTCTCGACACTCACCACTCACACTCGCCACTCACACTCACTACTCTCGTCACTCGCCACTCTCACTCGTCACTCACACTCACCACTCACACTCACTACTCTCGACACTCACCACTCACACTCACCACTCACACTCGCCACTCACACTCACTACTCACACTCACCACTCACACTCACCACTCACACTCACCACTCACACTCACTACTCACGACACTCACCACTCACACTCGCCACTCACACTCACTACTCTCGACACTCACCACTCACCACTCACACTCACCACTCACACTCACTACTCTTGACACTCGCCACTCACCACTCACACTCACCACTCACACTCACTACTCTCGACACTCACCACTCACACTCACTACGCTTGACACTCACCACTCACACTCACCACTCACACTCACTACTCTTGACACTCGCCACTCACCACTCACACTCACCACTCACACTCACTACTCTCGACACTCACCACTCACACTCACCACTCACACTTGCCACTCACACTCACTACTCTCGTCACTCGCCACTCTCACTCGCCACTCACACTCACCACTCACACTCGCTACTCTCGACACTCACCACTCACACTCGCCACTCACACTTGCCACTCACACTCACTACTCTCGTCACTCACTACTCTCGACACTCACCACTCACACTCGCCACTCACACTCACTACTCTCGACACTCACCACTCACCACTCACACTCACCACTCACACTCACTACTCTTGACACTCGCCACTCACCACTCACACTCACCACTCACACTCACTACTCTCGACACTCACCACTCACACTCACCACTCACACTCACTACGCTTGACACTCACCACTCACCACTCACACTCACCACTCACACTCACTACTCTTGACACTCACCACTCACACTCACACTCACTACTCTCGACACTCACCACTCACACTCACCACTCACACTCACTACTCTTGACACTCACCACTCACACTCGCCACTCACACTCACTACTCTCGACACTCACCACTCACCACTCACACTCACCACTCACACTCACTACTCTTGACACTCACCACTCACACTCACCACTCACACTCGCCACTCACACTCACTTCTCTCGACACTCACCACTCACACTCACCACTCACACTCACTACTCTTGACACTCACCACTCACACTCACCACTCACACTTGCCACTCACACTCACTACTCTCGTCACTCGCCACTCTCACTCGCCACTCACACTCACCACTCACACTCGCTACTCTCGACACTCACCACTCACACTCGCCACTCACACTTGCCACTCACACTCACTACTCTCGTCACTCACTACTCTCGACACTCACCACTCACACTCGCCACTCACACTCACTACTCTCGACACTCACCACTCACCACTCACACTCACCACTCACACTCACTACTCTTGACACTCGCCACTCACCACTCACACTCACCACTCACACTCACTACTCTCGACACTCACCACTCACACTTGCCACTCACACTACTTTCGTCACTCGCCACTCTCACTCGCCACTCACGCTCGCCACTCACATTCATCGCTCACTGTTATCACGAACGCAATCTTCACTCTCACTCACATTATCACTCATTTACATTGTCATCATTGGCGTCGTTGACAGTATCCAATTCCATCTCCATTGCTCGAGCTATCGGCTTGATTGCTGCGTGGCAAACACCCTTTGCAGGGCACATTCAGGTGCGCTCCTCGTGAGTCTGGGGAGGCTACTGAAGTGACTTCGCTCTGTGCTGTCATCTTCTGCCAGTTTTCTCCAGCACGAGGTGATGCACAGCTGGCTGTACCTGTGAGTGTACTCACGCGTGCGTGTCCGCGCGTGTGTGCAGGACCTGAGTGGCTGGGTGCGAGGGCGCAGCGAGGTGGAGTCGGTTGACTGGGTGATCAAGCTCCGTGAGAAAATGGTAATGCAGCCTTAACATTGCACACTCGGCTCACCCGACCCAACACGGTGCTCTCTGCCGCCCTTACCCAACATGGCGCCTGCATTTCACTCCCTAGCCAACATGGCGCCCTCCTCCACCCCCTACCAAACATGGCGCCTTCCGCTCAACCACTCTTAACACGGTGCCCTTCACGCTACGCTACCCATCGTGGTGCCCTCTGGTCGCTCGTCATCTTTCACACCCTGCACAACATGGCGTCCTCCTTCAATACTGACCCCCCCTGCCCCCAACTCAACATCGTCTCACTCGACCACCTACCCCCCGCGACCCCCCTTGATCCCCATGCCTCTGTGACCCCATAACCCCGGTGCCCAGGCACACGTGACCCAGGCACAGGTGAGCGTGGGAGCGCAGACGCTGGTGAAGCTGCGCGCGCACGTGGACGCCATCATCTCGTCGCTGCCGCCCGACCTGCAGAGCGTGCTGGGCAGCGGCGGCTAGGGCGCGGCAGCGGCGCCAGCTGCGTCCCCTCGTCCCTACGCGTCTCATCTCATCTTCCATGTCTCCCTCCTACGTCTCTCATGCTCGTGTCTCCACGTCCTCCAAGTCCCCACGTCGTTGTGTCTCCTCGTGTCCTCCCTCATCTCCTGCGCACCCACGTCTCCCACGTCTCTCGTCGTCTCCGCGTCCCCACGTCTCCCCGTACCTGTCCCGCATCTTGCCTTGTCCATTAGCCGGTGGTGGGAATCGCTGTTTGCCCATCGAGTTGAAACGCGGAGCGGCGATGCTGGCAGGGACGGCGCTGGGCTGAGCCGGGCCGGTCTCGGCTGCTCCTAGTGTTCTTATCATTAGTTGTGTACATATACAAAGATAGCGGTCCCCCCTGTAGCCTTAACGCATTGTTTGGGACAAGTGCTGTTATTGATCACCTATAAAGCCCGGCACAGCACGTGAGAGGGTGGTCAGTGCCATGCCCGGCCGCCTTTGTCTCCCTAGTGACAATGTTTACATATCTCACCAGGCACTGTACTCATGTGAGGCTGAGTCGACCTAGGGAAGGCTCAGGACCAGTTCAGATAATCGCCAATGTGTACATAATACACACATACAAGTGCATATAGACATGCACGTACACACACGCTGACTGATGCCCACTTGCAGGCCGGTGCAGTAAACGCGCACAGGGACAGCTGCCACTGGGAGGGGGGGGGGGGGTCCCGTAGGTTAGACTACAGCAGGTCCATTGTAATGTTTAAGATGGTATGTGATGAAAGGTGCTTTTAAGTTCCCGAGGGATTTAAGCACGTGCCCTGTACATTGCATGTGCAGCAATACCTCGGTGTACGTCGGGGATGCGTTCCTCAAAAGTATGACGACAAATATCGAAATGACGTCAAAGCAATTTACAGAGTAGGTTGAAGCGAAGGCTGAGGGGCGACGAAGATGAGGAATGACGGACGATGCTGTTAGCGACGTGTGGGTTGAGGTGACGCAAATCGGCGAGCAGTGTTCACAAAGTGACGACGTGTTTGCCAGAGGACGTAAAAGGGGGAGACGTAAATCGGGGTATCGCTGTACATACACTCAGAGCCCTCCCATGGGTCCACTGCGAATTGGAGCGACGGCCCCGGGCCCCGCGCTTTGGGGGGCTCCCCGCGCTTCGACATCAACGGTGTCGGATGTAATAATGAAGGCGTCGAGAGGGCCCACAGTGGGATTTTCCCCGGGTCTCGCACCCCCCTATGGACGGCCCTGCGTACACGGACACGCGCGCGCGATTCTCACACGTTGCGATCGCACGGATTGCCACGGATGGATGTGCGGTCGCGATTCCTTCGTCTGGTTAGCATTGTAGCGCCACTCGTGGCCGAACCGATGGGATTTAATCGATGGATTGGCGTCGTCGCTGCGGTGGTTTCGCAAGGCTCGTACATAAAAACTGAGAAACGGTGTTACGGGAAACATTTCATTCAGAACCAAACTGCCGCCGGACAATAACTGAAATCGCTTTTGGATTCCCGCGCGGATCGTGAATGAGATGAGAATGAGTGAACAGGTTCAGTGAGCCCATAGAAATGAAAATGCATTCGTCGACATGATAGCGCTTGTGTTGTAGAGAAAGGGCCCTTATCCGAAACGTCGCCTAAATATATTTATTGTTTTAAGGCCACAGAGATGTTGACAAACGTGTTGCGGTATTTGTTGTTGCTATTTGTGTGCCACTGCCGACTCAGCAGCAGAAGCAGCATTACTTTTACGTGAGCAAATAGAACCATGATGAATCACGTTGCATATGTATCGTCGGTACAGAAAGTCCTCGTTTAAACGTAGTAGGCGCGTTCCGGAAAAGTGCCGCGTGAAGCGAAAAAAATTTCCCCAGAAATAATGTTGATGATAAAGATTTTGGCGACATTACCGTGTTACGCACAATGTGATGGCCGGGACCATTAACCGAGGGTTCGCCACCGCGTTGCTCTATCGCTCCGCGTTCTGTATCATACCGCTCAGCCGCGCAGCTCCAAAAAGTAGTTGGTCGTCAACCACGTTATAAACCGCATTATAACGGTGCACGTTGCAGGATTAAGTGTTCCCTAATGGAAGAACCGCTGTTGTAGCGAAAAAGGCGTTATCGTGTGACCACCGCGCGTTAAGCGAGGACTTGCCGTCCGTGTCACTAATCCATTACTGTTGACGCCCATTGTAACGATGACTGGTGCTGCCTGTGTAAGGCCGAGTGGTTGTTGCCCTGTAAGGGGCTCTTGGCGAACTGAATAAAGACGGCCGCCCACACGCACAGCCCCGGCTGCTCGTCTGCTCCTCTGCTCCTGGCCCAAGGCTGGCTGTGTGGGGCGGTCTTTCTAAAAGGTCCATCATGCATTCGTTATATATATTTTTTAAGTACGTAAATTTAACAAGACATCTACGCTGGAATGTAAATTTACAATGTGTCGAATAAACAATAAGATGCAAAATATGCGGCGGAAAACAAGATTAATATGAGTTCTCTATAGATCATTATCATGTATCTCTGTACGTGGTCACCTTCACCAATTCCATCGCTGTGCTTTTGGCACGTAGACACAGAAAATAAGCATTTAAATCCGACCAAATGAAAATCTGAAATATCCAACATTTAAATCCAAATACCTGCATCCGTTATCCGAAATATAAAATCGGATCCCAGTCTCATCCCTATCACAGACTGTGATGGCGAAAGGCCATCGGGTTCAAAGTCGTGGCCATACGCGTCTAACGCACGAGTCTCGCTCTATGGGAGTGCCACCTCGTTCAGTATTGGGGCGGTCTGGTCAGGGTTCACACCTTCGCAGCATCTCCTCGATGACCCCACTTCTCAGCACCACCACCCTCCTCCTCGCCCTCCTCCTCCTCACCCTCGCCGCCGCGTCCCAACGCCGCTGCCTCCGCTGGTAGCGCGGCCGGAGGGCCATGAACGCCGCGCACGAGGCCGAGCAAGCGGCCAGCACCACGAGCAGCAGCAGCAGCGACAGAGACACGGCGGCCGTGGCCGTGGCCTCGTCCAGGCCGGGCACCCCGGCGTCACCATCCCCGGGACCCTTCCCAGCTCCTTCAACATCAACGTCACTTTCAGACATTCCTGCGCCTTCCACGTGGCTTGTCTCTGTCTCGTTTGGCCCAATATCATCGTGGTCATCGTGACGGTGATCTGGGTAGTCGTGAAGATGCTCGTCGCTTGGTCCTGTCCCACCACCACCACTTGCTTCATCTCCATCACCATCGTCACTGCCTGGTCTCATCCCATAGTCATCGTCCAGCCCTCCTCCCACTTCACCTCTCGATGCTTCTCCCGATGCCTCCTTGTCGTACCCGGCGGAGTAGCCGGGCGGGTGAAGAAGTACGCGAACTGTGGGCGGGTGAGCTGAGGGGGGGTGAGCTGAGGGAGGGTGAGTTGATGGAGGGTGAGCTGAGGGCCAGTGCATTACAGGTGAACGAGTTGTGGGTAAATGAGCTTTGGGTGAGTGAGTGATGAGTGAGGGAGCTGTGGGTGAGTGAGTTGTGGGTGAGGGAGCTGTGGGTGAGGGAGCTGTGGGTGAGTGAGTGATGGGTGAGTGAGTTGTGGGTGAGTGAGTTGTGGGTGAGTGAGTGATGGGTGAGGGAGCCGTGGGTGAGTGAGTGATGGGTGAGTGAGTGATGGGTGAGGGAGCCGTGGGTGAGTGAGTTGCGGGTGAGTGAGTGATGGGTGAGGGAGCCGTGGGTGAGTGAGTGATGGGTGAGTGAGTGATGGGTGAGGGAGCCGTGGGTGAGTGAGTTGCGGGTGAGTGAGTGATGGGTGAGTGAGTTGTGGGTGAGGGAGCTGTGGGTGAGTGAGTGACGGGTGAGGGAGCTGTGGGTGAGTGAGTTGTGGGTGAGGGAGCCGTGGGTGAGTGAGTGATGGGTGAGGGAGTTGTGGGTGAGTGAGTGATGGGTGAGGGAGCCGTGGGTGAGTGAGTTGTGGGTGAGTGAGTTGTGGGTGAGGGAGTTGTGGGTGAATGAGTGATGGGTGAGTGAGTTGTGGGTGAGGGAGTTGTGGGTGAATGAGTGATGGGTGAGTGAGTTGTGGGTGAGGGAGCTGTGGGTGAGTGAGTGATGGGTGAGTGAGTTGTGGGTGAGGGAGCTGTGGGTGAGGGAGTTGTGGGTGAATGAGTGATGGGTGAGTGAGTGATGGGTGAGGGAGTGATGGGTGAGTGAGTTGTGGGTGAGTGAGTGATGGGTGAGTGAGCTGTGGGTGAGTGAGCTGTGGGTGAGGGAGTTGTAGGTGAGTGAGCTGTGGGTGAGTGAGCGGTGGGTGAGGGAGTTGTGGGTGAGTGAGTTGTGGGTGAGTGAGTGATGGGTGAGGGAGCCGTGGGTGAGTGAGTGATGGGTGAGTGAGTGATGGGTGAGGGAGCCGTGGGTGAGTGAGTTGCGGGTGAGTGAGTGATGGGTGAGGGAGCCGTGGGTGAGTGAGTGATGGGTGAGTGAGTGATGGGTGAGGGAGCCGTGGGTGAGTGAGTTGCGGGTGAGTGAGTGATGGGTGAGTGAGTTGTGGGTGAGGGAGCTGTGGGTGAGTGAGTTGTGGGTGAGGGAGCCGTGGGTGAGTGAGTGATGGGTGAGTGAGTTGTGGGTGAGGGAGTTGTGGGTGAGTGAGTGATGGGTGAGGGAGCCGTGGGTGAGTGAGTTGTGGGTGAGTGAGTTGTGGGTGAGGGAGTTGTGGGTGAGTGAGTGATGGGTGAGTGAGTTGTGGGTGAGGGAGCTGTGGGTGAGTGAGCTGTGGGTGAGGGAGTTGTAGGTGAGTGAGCTGTGGGTGAGTGAGCTGTGGGTGAGTGAGCTGTGGGTGAGGGAGTTGTGGGTGAGGGAGCTGTGGGTGAGTGAGCTGTGGGTGAGTGAGCTGTGGGTGAGGGAGTTGTAGGTGAGTGAGCTGTGGGTGAGTGAGCTGTGGGTGAGTGAGCTGTGGGTGAGTGAGCTGTGGGTGAGTGAGTTGTGGATGAGGGAGCGGTGGGTGAGGGAGTTGTGGGTGAGGGAGTTGTGGGTGAGTGAGTGATGGGTGAGGGAGTTGTGGGTGAGTGAGTGATGGGTGAGGGAGTTGTGGGTGAGTGAGCTGTGGGTGAGGGAGTTGTGGGTGAGTGAGTGATGGGTGAGTGAGTGATGGGTGAGGGAGTTGTGGGTGAGGGAGCTGTAGGTGAGGGAGTTGTGGGTGAGGGAGCCGTGGGTGAGGGAGTGATGGGTGAGGGAGTTGTGGGTGAGGGAGCTGTAGGTGAGTGAGTTGTGGATGAGGGAGCGGTGGGTGAGGGAGTTGTGGGTGAGGGAGTTGTAGGTGAGTGAGTGATGGGTGAGGGAGTTGTAGGTGAGTGAGTTGTGGGTGAGGGAGTTGTGGGTGAGTGAGCTGTGGGTGAGTGAGTGATGGGTGAGGGAGCTGTAGGTGAGTGAGCTGTGGGTGAGGGAGTTGTGGGTGAGTGAGTGATGGGTGAGGGAGTTGTGGGTGAGGGAGTTGTGGATGAGGGAGCTGTGGGTGAGGGAGTTGTGGGTGAGTGAGTGATGGGTGAGGGAGTTGTGGGTGAGTGAGTGATGGGTGAGGGAGTTGTGGGTGAGTGAGCTGTGGGTGAGGGAGTTGTGGGTGAGTGAGTGATGGGTGAGTGAGTGATGGGTGAGGGAGTTGTGGGTGAGTGAGTGATGGGTGAGGGAGTTGTGGGTGAGTGAGCTGTGGGTGAGGGAGTTGTGGGTGAGTGAGTGATGGGTGAGTGAGTGATGGGTGAGGGAGTTGTGGGTGAGGGAGCTGTAGGTGAGGGAGTTGTGGGTGAGGGAGCCGTGGGTGAGGGAGTGATGGGTGAGGGAGTTGTGGGTGAGGGAGCTGTAGGTGAGTGAGTTGTGGATGAGGGAGCGGTGGGTGAGGGAGTTGTGGGTGAGGGAGTTGTGGGTGAGTGAGTGATGGGTGAGGGAGTTGTAGGTGAGTGAGTTGTGGGTGAGGGAGTTGTGGGTGAGGGAGTTGTGGGTGAGTGAGTGATGGGTGAGGGAGTTGTAGGTGAGGGAGCTGTGGGTGAGTGAGTTGTAGGTGAGGGAGTTGTGGGTGAGCTCTCCAGCAGGTGCTCGATCAAGCGAGCTGGGAACGAGTGATCCGTGGGTGAGCAGCCGAGCGAGCGGACCAGGGGTGAGCGATCCGTGGGTGAGCGCCCGAGCAAGCGGTCGAGAGGGTGAACTGCGAACGAGCATTGGGGCGAGCGAGCGGTGGGCGAGCGCTCAAGAGAGCGAGTCGTGGGCGAGTGCGGGTCAACGAGTGGGCCATCATCGGTGGACGATTGTCTTGATGAGCGAGCCAACAACGCCAATGCTGCGGTGGCGGTGTGGGTCGCGGCGGCGGCGGCGGCGGTGTGGGTCACGGCGACGATGGCGGTGGTGGCGGTGTGGGTCGCGGCGGCGGCGGCGGTGTGGGTCACGGCGACGATGGCGGTGGTGGTGGTGTGGGTCGCGGCGGCGGCGGCGGTGTGGGTCGCTGTGGTGGCCACTGGCCCGGCCGTGGCCCGCACGGCAATGCCGCTCGTCCTCCCCGCATCGGCCCCGGGAGCGGGCGACGCGTTGGTGCCAGCGTCCTGGCCTTGGGCGAGGTAGCGCAGCTTGTGGTGGTCGCCATCTGCTGTGTCGATCGCGACATAGAGGGGAGACCATCCGCGTCACTCACACTCGAGGCACGGCGAAAGCAGTGGGTGTGCAGGAACATCACATTATACCGTGCATATACCGTGTTCATTTTAGCCAACCACACCGTGGATCTCTCTCTCTCTCCCGTGGGATATGAGGATCTCTGAGTCTGTGGACATTTTTAGAGGTGAAACAGCGGGTTGATGAAGGGGAGGAGGATGATGTTGGTAGTGGTGGTGATGAGGTGGTGAGTCTCTGCACCGTAGCCCCGGGAGGATAGCACGGTAAATTTCTCTAGTGAACGGTGGTGGTGATGACGATGGGAGTGATTGAACAGCGGGTTGATGAAGAGGAGTAGGATGACGATGATGGTGGTGATGATAGTGATACGTTAGTGGTATAGTGATGGTGGTGATATGGTGAGTCTCTGCACTGTGGCCCTGTGTGGAGTACACGGTAAATCTCGAGCGAACGGTGATGATGATGACCACGATGATGGTGGTGACGGTATAGTGATGGTGGTGATGGTGTAGTGATGGTGGTAATGTGGTGAGTCTCTGCACCGTGGCCCCGGGATGAGAAGAGGGTGAACCTCTCCCCGACGCGTGCGCGCACGCAGCTTGAGAGCAGCGGGCACGACACGAGGAGGCAGTTTGGCTGGCGGGGTCCGCGGAGAGACACGAACACAGCCACGTGGCACGCATCACCTGGACGACGCACCACCACGTGACCACACCACC